GTTTATAGCGAACACGCTTACAACGAACTTATGGATATAACGAACTTATGGATATAACGAACTGGCGGATATAACGAACTGATGGATATAACGAACTGGCGGATATAACGAACTGATGGATATAACGAACTGACGGATATAACGAACTGACGGATATAACGAACTGACGGATATAACGAACTGGTGGATATAACGAACTGGTGGATATCAAACATAAAACTGACGGATATAACGAAACTAACGAACTGGCGGATATAACGAACTGATGGATATAACGAACTGACGGATATAACGAACTGGCGGATATAACGAACTGGCGGATATAACGAACTGACGGATATAACGAACTGACGGATATAACGAACTGACGGATATAACGAACTGACGGATATAACGAACTGACGGATATAACTGGCGGAACGAACTGGCGGATATAACGAACTGACGGATATAACGAACTGACGGATATAACGGCGGATATAACGAACTGGCGGATATAACGAACGGACGGATATAACGAACTGGCGGATGGCGGAACTGGCGGATATAATGAATTGACGGATATAACGAACTGACGGGATATAACGAACTGACTGATATAACGAACTTGCGGATATAACGAACTGACGGATATAACGAACTGTCGAAATGCGTATGACGAACTACGCCTATAACAAACGGAATTTAGTAGTGATTTTGATCCGTAGTTTATGGTATCTAGTGACGATTGTTTTTACACGGTCTTTACTTCGAAGAATAACATTGGAATTTATTTTACACGAGGTCTCATAACATACGAATTATACAAAGAATAACATCCATAGAGAATACTACACGATCTGACCGAGCGAAAGAGGTCAGATACCATAGGAAGGACACTCGTTTCGTATAATTCGTATGTAATGAGACCGAGTGTGGTATTTTATTTATTACCCGCCTCTCACCTGCATAAAATTGACAAAATAGCGTAGTTTTTGTTATTTTCAGGCTTTTAACCCGAAACCGGTTTCATAAAGAGGTTGCGGAAGAATTTTTTGCATGACGTCACACTGTATCGACGTCACTACGCCATTCTCGACTGTCCCCTTGGTAACCGACGTCACGATGCATGTCAGTAACTGTTGTCATCGCCTCGTACATCTTCCTACAGTTGGTTTGCAATTGCTTCACTCGGCTAACATCACTGGTGGAAACATTGCGTTTATGTTTTTCGACGGATATAAGGTCTCAATTCGACTCACAATTAAACTGCGATACGGCAAAATATCCCTCTATCCCGGGAACATGCTACTGAAATTCACTTTGTGCCAATGATATTCTGGAGAAAGTCACACAGCGCCATGGGAAAGTTTACTGAAATATTTTCGCTTGAGATGTATTTTGCATTCGAGTGAGTGAGTGAGTGAGTTTAGTTTAGTTTAGCAATATTCCAGCAATATCACGGCGGGGGACACCAGAAATGGGCTTCACACATTGTGCTAATGTGGGGAATCGAACCCGGGTCTTCGACGTGATGAGCGAACGCTTTAACCATCGCCCCTTTTTTTGCATTCGAACACAATGGACACAAGGAAATGTGCAGCATGACGTGAAATCATAGGACAAATGTTTCCTTGTATTTATATAGCGGATCGAACTTCGTGTCTGTAGTGGACCACGTGGCTACAGGGGCACATAGCTTTCAACATTTTTTTGTTTCAGGTGCACGTACGCCAGCAAGGCGTTTTACGTCCGTTGCCTAAGGTTCACGGGAAGTAAACGTTGCCGTAGATGTTTTTTCAGGTTTACAGGTCGGATGAAAACGTCAACCTCTTGTCTGAGGATATAAGTCCAAGGAATAGGGAAAGTGAGGAGGACCTCAAGATGGAGGAGGACGGGGGCGGATACAGCTTTATGAAGGGTGGGGGTTGGGGTTGGGGTTGGGGGGGTTGGGGTTGGGGTTGGGTTGTTGGTGGTGGTGGTGTGTGTGTGTGTGTGTGTGTGTGTGTGCGTGTGTGCGTGCGAAAAGTTTATTTTCACCAGTTTTCACAAGAGTTTCAATGGTCATTTAATAAACTTTCAGCACAAAGAGGGTGGTGGTGCACCACCAGCCCTGCACCCCCTCTGGAGCCGCCTATGAGGGGAGGTATACTACATATATATCCTTTCTTTGGAAGTAGGGGTGTTCAAACAGACTGAAACAGCTCTGTTATGTCAAATCTGAATCCATTTGACAATGGTGTGAGCTTGTTTTGTTGTCCTGTACATGATGTCATTTGTATCGACGTTTCGGAGACAAATAAACAAACGAAAGGCAGTGTGTTCCATTTGTTCTGGGACAAGGCGGTTTCTGAAAGGGCTGTCATCAATCACATGTAAACCACGAGAAGCTACTACATATTGAACAACATGACCAAAATAATCAGCAGGTTTTGTGATGTGATGTGATGTGAATGAGGACAACTGTAAAAGATTATAATTTAACTTTATTAACATGATCAAAATTGTGAAAGATTAACAAGGGTTATCACGTTGAATTAAAACACATAAATATTTTGTGTAGTGAGAAATTATATGAACTGCGAAGTCAGGGAATATTACAAACTAACGGACCACCTTTCAGTATCTTAAACCTGCGAAACGACAATATGACAACGACAGTGTCATCTAGATCAGTATCTCTTAGAGTTTCGCAGCACCTTTAAGGCGTGAACATTTCTATGCAGTTAATCTTCTTTATACTGAACCTCAGTATTCAACAGGGGTAAAGAATCTGTCTATGTAACTGTCAACAAAATCAACAGCAGAACGCAGAAAGCTTGCAGAGGGAGGGAGCCAATGACCTATAACAGCGGCAGTGTTGGGTCATAAAGGTCAACGTTCGTCAATGTAGGTCAGCTATGCACGTAACAGGTATGAAGAGGTGTTCATTTCTAGCAAATAGCCGGCGAATGACATCTCTGATGACCCTGATGTCAAAAGAATCTAACTTTGGATGCCTACCTTTTTGTACAAGGTTTTGTTTATTGGTTGTTGGTTTATTTTTCAAAATTTTTAGCACGATGTTCTTTTTCATGCCAAGAGCAAAAGTTGTACGTTTCATGTAATCCGACACCTTATAAATCGGATTGCTACGTTTGCTCTCTTTTTTAACAAAATTCAACACATTTCTAATTAAACGTTTAGCATCCATCTGAATAAGCTTTCATGATGACAGCTAGAAGTAGTCAATGTGAATGATCCAAACGGTCTATCACTGTGCAGTGCACAGGTAACTATCATGAACTGCACGTGCATTGACCTTTATGACCCAACACTGCCGCTGTTACAGGTCATTGGCTCCCTCCCTCTGCAAGCTTTCTGCGTTCTGCTGTTGATTTTGTTGACAGTTACATAGACAGATTCTTTAATACAAATGCATAGAATCGGTGATTTACAATTAGTGGATAAGGCGTTCGCTCGTTACGCTGAAGGCCCGTGTTCGATGCCCCACATGGGCACAATGTGTGAAGCCCATTTCTGGTGTCCCCGCCGTGATATTGCTGGAATATTGCTAAAAGCGGCGTAAAACCAACTCACTCACTCAGTATTCAACATCCTAATAACTGCCTACGTTAACCTAATTCATATAATTCTGTAGATGTAGTAACACTTAAGTTGAACGCAATTTTATGAAGAAAATATATTTTGTAAGTAGAACATACATGTAAGTACAGCTGGGTCAGTCACGCATAATTCTGTTTTCATCCAGTTACGAAACGTTACTATCCTGTTCTAATACACAGTAGAGAGCCACGAGGCGTCGGCAGCTAAAATATCATAGGATCCTGGCATTCTAAAGGGAGGCAACTCAACATGTTAAACAGCACTACAGACGACTGCGTAGAACATTCCGTCGTACTATTCAAACAAAACCCCATTAACTTCGTTCGTGTTTTTCTGTCTCCTGCAACCCTTACATCCTCATGAAAGCAGTTCTGTAAGTCTTGACATTTCGTTTGAAATGTGTTTCACAAGAGTTTGTTAAGCGCTTTGCACGTGTTAAATATTTGTTTAGCCGATGGAACTGGAGTACGTCTCATGTGCTTAGAATAGGTAGGCGGTAACACAAAACTAGTTGTTCGGGTACATTATTCAGGGATATACGTGTTACTTGAGTATAGATATACGCATATTCCCACTAAACATTTATAAACATATGCTTACTGTAAGGTCATTCCAAACGAGTGAGAAGGGTAGCCTAGTGGCTAAAGCGTTTGCTCGTCACGGCGAAAACCCGGGTTCGAGTCCCCACATGGAACAACTTTTGGTGTCTCCCGCCGTGTTATTGCTGGAACATTGCTAAAAGTATTGTAAAACCATACTCACTCACTCACCCAACCGAGTGAGGTCACCATCAGTTTTGTTCAGGTAACAAAAAATTCAATTAACTGAACTTCAATAGAACAGCCTTACACTGGAAACTGAGAACATACGTACCCTATATCAGAGAATGTAAATACTTGGTCTGGGGTGGCCAAACCAAGGGCTGATATCATGAGCATCTGTCAAGGTTGCCGGACGGATACAGTGACATACAAAGAGATCGTCAAACAGATCATACATCATACAATCACATGAAATATATATTCTATTTCTGTTGGATAAAGAAGTCAAGTCACTGACAATATTTCTAAATGGCAGTATCATCATGATGTACCAATGCACCTGAAAAACAACTTACAAATGAATTTAATTTACATTTGAAAAAACAACAAATTTGGATTTGAACGGAGCCTCGTAACAAAATAAACAATCAAGAAATACGTTTGTATTCATTATGCATGTTAAGTAGCCAATATTGCGACAAACAAGTAATCCATTTGTGTAGCCTAAACGATAAGTTTCCGTGTCAATATAGCTTCACACAAGCTTTCCTCGTCGGGCGTGGTCCACTATAGAAAAAAGAATTATAATGACTTAGGAGCCATACATAGTATAATATCCTTATAGATTTTCCGGATCTGTTATCTAACTTCCTACATTTTACTTTTACCTTGTTCATGCCTGGTGTATCATCAGTCCAGGTTACACGTGTTGGCGTCATGCGGGTACATTTTGTACGTGAGATTACCCCGAGTTTCACACAAATGTTGATGGTTCCTCAACAGACACAAACGTGAGTTCTATGATTATCGAATTACGACTCGTGTGTTACCACTTAACGTTCTAAAATATAGACAGGCTTATATATTTACAATTACTATTTTCAATTTGTTTTCCACTCTCTATCATGAACGGGCAGTTTCTTCTGCAGCGAAATCAATGCTAGTGGTTTCGTGTGGTCGCAGACCCATATCGCGAGAGAGATATTCGTAGCAACTAGAAACGAGAGGATATTTGAGAAGGGCCTACCAACCCCAGCCCCAGCCAGGGTAACAATAAGTAACATGTTTTATGTTTTGGAATGATGCGGCAGGGAACCAAACACCGACCTTCCGCTCCTGGGCTGACGCACTTCCCACATCACAGAGTGAGTGAGTGAGCGAGTTTAATTTTTACGCCGCTTTTAGCAATATCACGGCGGAGGACACCAGGAATGGGCTTCACACGCTGTACCCATGTGGGGAATCGAACCCGTGTCTTTGGCGTGACGAGCGAACGCTTTAACCCCACCCCACCGCCCCCGCATCACGGAGGCAATACAGAGAGTGAGTGAGAGTGAGTGAGTGAGTGAGTGAGTGAGTGAGTGAGTGAGTGAGTGAGTGAGTGAGTATGGTTTTACAGGGAACCAAACATCGACCTTCCGCTCCCGGGCTGACGCAGTTCCCACATCAGGAAGTGAGTGAGTGAGCGCGTTTAGTTTTACGCCGCTTTTAGAAGTATTCAAGCAATATCACGGCAGGGGAACCAAAAACCGACCTTCCGCTCCCGGGCTGACGCACTTCCCACATCAGGAAGTGAGTGAGTGAGCGAGTTTAGTTTTACGCCGCTTTTAGCAATATTCAAGCAATATCACGGCAGGGGAACACCAGAAATGAGCTTCACACATTGTACCCATGTGGGGAATCGGACCCAGGTCTTCAGCGTGACGAGCGAACGCTTTAAAAACTAAGCTACCTCTAGTAGGCTTGGAGTCAGCAGCCGTGGCTGTGAGGGCATATATTGTAAACACGTGGATGGTATCTCAGTGGGATTGCTCCGGTATATGTCCGGTCTAGTACAAACAACCCCACCCACGTGAATGCATGTCGCTATATATTGTCAATGGTCTTGAACGCCACGTTAAGCAATGTCACCTTGCCACAGTTCACAGCATTCACGTCATTGTTCAGATATAGGATATAGCATAGCATTGAGGAGTCAACACACATACACCTACTGCATGATACGCACTGTTGATGGTGTTTACCGTGATGGTGTTTACTGTTGCATGTTGGTCATGTATTCTAACAAGCATGTGTGTATCGAACCATATCGACCTGTGGTCATATAATGATCTCACGTATGACTCACGTGTCTCATGTTCAGATAACATATCTCATGTATAACTAACATATCTCATGTATAACTAACATATCTCATGTATAACTAACATATCTCATGTATAACTAACACATCTTACGTATAACTAACATATCTCATGCATAACTAACATATCTCGTGTATAACTAACATATCTCATCTATAACTAACATATCTCATCTATAACTAACATATCTCATCTATAACTAACATATCTCGTGTATAACTAACATATCTCGTGTATAACTAACATATCTCATGTATAACTAACATATATCGTGTATAAATAACATATCTCATCTATAACTAACTTATCTATAACTAACATATATGCAATGTTTTACGAGCATGTCTCGTGGAACTGATATATCTCATGTATAACCAACAAATATCATGTACAACTACTGACACATCTCATGTAGATCTAACTCATTTATAACTAATATTTACAATGTTTTACGAGCATGTCTCGTGTAACTAATATATCCCATGTTTAAAGTATATCATGTAGCTCTAACATATGTCATGCATGACTAACTTACCTAATAAATAACTATTAGTGCCATATCTCATGTATAACTATCACATCAATAGCTTATATATGTCGTGTTTTACTAACATACCTTGTGTATGACTAACATATTTAATGTATAACTAACATACTTTGTGTATAACTATCATATCCCATGTATAACTAACATAGAGTATGTATAACTAACATATCCCATGTATAACTAAATTATCTTGTGTATATCTATCATATCCCATGTATAGTTATCGCATCCCATGTATAACTATCATATCCCATGTATAACTATCATATCTCATGTATAACTATCATATCCCATGTATAACTATCATATCATATCCCATGTATAACTAACATGTATAACTATCATATCCCATGTATAACTATCATATCTCATGTATAACTATCATATCCCACGTATAACTATCATATCCCAAGTATAACTATCATATCCCATGTATAACTATCATATCCATGTATAACTATCATATCCCAAGTATAACTATCATATCTCATGTATAACTATCATATCCCACGTATAACTATCATATCTCATGTATAACTATCATATCCCATGTATAACTATCATATATCATAACTATATCTCATGTATAACTATCATATCTCATGTATAACTATCATATCCCATGTATAACTATCATATCTCATGTATAACTATCATATCCCACGTATAGCTATCATCTCTCATGTATAACTATCATATCCCACGTATAACTATCATATCCCACGTATAACTATGATCTCCCATATATAACTAATACAGTATCATATTCAAGCAGGTGACAACCTGATCCACTCACTGCACACCAGTACAGAGACTCCACCCTAGCCCTGTTTACATGTTGCAACTAAAGCATACTAGTACAAACTTGAGAAATGCCAACACAAAGGTGTTTTGTAAACTTAAATAGAACCACTTCAATAGGCTTGCTTCTGTCTACAACAAGCGTCCCACACATAGCTACCTCTGTAGCTGACTGTTGGTTTGAAGGGCAGATTGTGTACTGATCAGGTATGTTGGCTTAGCTCTACTGCTGTAATGACATGTGAATTTCTGCTCAGTTTATACTAACGACTGACGATCTCATTTAGATCCTCAATTGTCAGTTTTCATAGAATGCCATTTATGTTTTACATATACTCAATACTACAGTGTGACTTTATCACTGACCTTCTTCCATCTCCATGATAACGACTCGTTCATTCATTCATTCAGCATGTGATATTTCTACTGATGTCCAGTGATCCATGTATGTAATCTTGTTAATATTCACTATTTTGCTATTGGTGAGGTGTGGTCGTGTGCACAAATCAGGTGAAGTTAAGCAACACTGGCCATGGACAGTCTTTGGCAGCTTGACTCCTGAGAGTTTCTAGGACTTCAGTTCTGCCCCACAACTAAGCACACGTGACACATGTGGTCTCACCATCGGCAACTGAGTTTGTTCATAATTGCCTCTGTTCACCCAGCAGTGAATGGGTACCCGGTCGGATAAGTCATATGACTGTTAACCTTCTAGCGCCTCACAGGCGTTATCCGGGGTAATAATGTCTCGGCGCTTTCAGCATGCACAAGTGCGTGGATTATAAATGTCCATTATCATTTACACCTAGTGAACTCGATAATGTTTCGGCAGATTATCGAGGCAAATTATTCCAACCTGTTGACATTTATGTTAATATAGTATATTTCATTAATATGTTTGAATGCTTACCTCACAGGTATTGACACCATGAATGTCCTACGCCACGACATTAATGCAATACGAGCAATGACAGCAAATACCAACCTACACGCTGAATGCAGGGAAGGGAATCTTAACAATGTGAGAAAACTATTGACCACGAACACAGCGAACGTCAACAAAATGGGATTGTATGGCTGGACGCCATTGCTTGCATCAGCATGGAGTGGAGATACAGACGTGTTGGACTGCATCATGTATAAAGGCGGTGACGTTTCGGCAGTTGATGACGGAGGTGACAACGTCCTTCATGTGGCATGTAACGGGGGTCATGACCACATGGTTAAATACATCATATCCTTGAACGTCGTCGACGTCAACTGCAGAGGACAACATGGAAGGACACCGGTGATGGTGGCAGCGTTGGGTGGTCATCGACGAATGATGACTTCACTTTTGAACGAAGGAGCCAATTTAGCATGTGTTGATGACGACGGCAATACTATGCTGCACGTTGCATGCTGCGGAGGTGATGTTGAGACGGTGAAGTATGTCCTTTCTCGAGGCAGTACACATGTTGATAGCAGGAATCGTAACGGCTGGACAGCCCTCATGTGTGCAGCTTGGGTGGGACAAAGAGGAGCGTTTGACGTGCTTGTTAATGCTGGATGCGATGTGTCGCTGGTTGATGCTAACAGAAATACAATCCTCCACCTGGCTTGTCTTGGAGGTAATGTCGATATAGTGAAATATGTCCTCGTTGAGATCCGTGATGACGTTAACTGCAGGGGTCAATACGGGTGGACACCGGTGATGATTGCAGCGGAGAGAGGGTACAGAGGCATGTGTGACTTCCTTGTGGGTAAGGATGCTGATCTGTCGGTAGTTGGTGCTGATGGTAATACCATCCTTCACATGGCATGTCTTGGTGGTGATGTTGAGCTTGTGCAGGATGTCCTCAGAGAGACACAAATTAACGTCAACGTGAAAGGACACGAAGGTATGACTCCCGTGATGATAGCAGCCAGGATGGGGAATCAGATATTATTTGACCTTCTTGTGAGTAAAGGAGCCGACGTGTCCATCGTTGATGACCACAACAACAACATCCTTCATATGGCCTGTCTTGGAGGCGATGACGCCATGGTAATAGACATTCTCCTTCAGAAACAATTCACCATCAACAGTTCAGGACAGAAGGGGATGACGCCAATCATGTTCGCATCCCGAGCCGGACACGGGGTTGTGTTTGACGTGCTGAAGAGTAAAGGGGCAGATGTATCAGCTTTAGATGATGACGGTAACAACGTTCTCCATCTTGCAAGTCTTGGTGGTGATGATGCCATGACGTTCCAAGTGCTCATCGAAACCAGCATCAACATCAACGGTAGGGGGAAGCTTGGAAGGACACCGTTGATGCTGGCAGCACAGTGTGGACACAAAGGTGTATTTGACGTTCTTTGGAACAGAGGTGCGGACACATTACTGTTTGATGACGAGGGTAACACCGCTCTTCATTTGGCCTGCTCGGAAGGGAATGTTGAAATGATACATTACATGCTGTTACAAACCACATTAGACGTGAACTGTAGAGGCAAGTACGGTAGGACCCCTGTGATGCTGGCAGCAGAGTTTGGTCACAGAGGAGTCGTTCGTATACTTCTGAGACAAGGCTGTGATCTGTCACTGATTGATGACGACGGTAACAACATCCACCACGTAGCCGCCATCGGCGGGGACGTGGACATGGTGAGATACATTCTCTCACTTGACACTGAGGGGGCTAACTCAAGGAATATTCATGGATCAACAGCAGGTATGATATGGAAAGAAAGACAGTGACTGTATCAGTTATACCCCACCGTGCTGGAAGATAGAACAATATGATCTTGAGCGAAACAAATGGGCATGGTGTTACAAACCTGTGTGGTTATGTTCATACAGCTTAGGTCACAAATCAGTTAAGCAACGTTGGGTGCGGAGAGTCATTGAATGGGTGACCGTGTTTGACAGCTTGACTCCTGAGAGTTTCTAGGATTTCAATCCTGCCCCACAAAGAAGCACATGTGATACATGTGGTCTCAGTTTAGTCAAATGAGTTGCCACAAAATTGCCACTGTTCACCCTGCAGAAAATGGGTACCCGGTGGGATAAGTCATGTTACAATAACTTTATAGCTCATCACAGGCATCTTTGGTTATCTGGGCTCATAATTGTCTGCACAATGAGCATGCTGTCGGTGTGGATTTAGCGCAATATGGACTAATTATTACTAATTATCAAACATGATCTTGTCGAATCTTAGATTCAATGCCATACTCTTGCCTGAGGGACGCACCTGAAAGTCGGGTTGTCGGCTGTCGAATACACTGGGAATAATGTCAGTAAAGCAGTTCCTGGTTTGAATAGCAAAGGTGCATGATAAGTCTCTCTTTTGTGCCATAAATTGCTTATATGTTTTAATTACATGTTTTACCTTGTTTATTATTGTTTATACACAATGCCGGACGAAAGAAAGTGCACACTGCTGTTTGACATGACAGTAGCTAAACATAAAAACAAGAAATGTTTATTCAGCGGGATATATTTGCTGCGGGAATCATCAACTGAAGTTAAGCGTACATACGCACACAACACAATTGGTAGTACCGGCCGTCTCCACAAAGATCGTGGGATTTTACAGCCGCATCTGAGCAGTCGCCTGAATGAACGGGACTGATGGCGCTTTGGTGTTCTTTAGCACGTTCTCATCCACATAGTCTCTCTATAGACTGACTGACTGACTGACTGAGTTTAGTTTTACGCCTCTTTTAGCAATATTCCAGCAACATCACGGCGGGGGACACCAGAAATGGGCTTCACACATTGTACCCATGTGGGGATTCGAACCTGGATCTTCGGCATGACGAGCCAACGCTTTAACCACTAGGCTACCCCATCCCCCCTCCTCCCTATAGACACTGTTGTTCACACATGAGCCCTCTTGTGTATCTCTGTATACAATTCGTACGGATGTTCTGATAGCCTAGAGTGATGCTGCACCGATTACCTTCTGTATGTGTAGTATTGCAGCTCTCGCATTATAGCTTGAGTGAGTGAGTGAGTGAGTGAGTGAGTGAGTGAGTGAGTTGGGTTTTACGCTGCTTTTAGCAATATTCCAGCAATATCACGGCGAGGGACACCAGACAGTTTTATGTCTTGATAATGAACTGAACTTCGTCATTGGTAATAAATACCATATATAATTAATTATAATTTCACATGATGTTTTAATAATTTTCGTGCATTATTTCCTACCCTGAACAACCCCGTGAAACAAACATCTTGTGTAAGATCCTGGTTGAATTATGTGGAAGCGTGGAGACGAAAGGTGTTGGTGGAGTGATTCTGGAGAATAATTCATACATCAGAAGTGTTGACTTGAAGTTTGTGTGGGTTCATTGGAGTATGAATGACTTGGGGTTTACGCAACTCCAGCAATAAAACAGCAATAACACGGCAAGGGACACCAGGAATGAGTACAGAACCGCTACCTTTTGCGTGACGAGCGGACCCTTTGACCACTAACCTATCCCGCCTGCGTTCTCTGAATTTCAACAATGTATGCTAAAACACTTATTTCCATATTAAAGGGTCTACGTGATTGGAAACAATCCTTTGTATCCTTTCATGTAAGGGAAACTGCTTGAGTGAGTGAGTGAGTGAGTGAGTGAGTGAGTAATATACCAATAATATCACGGCAGGGGACATCAGAAATTGGCTTCACCCATTGCACTCATGTGGGGAATCGAACAGGGTCTTTTTTGGAGGGGGGAGGGGGAGATTTGTATAGCATAGTGGGAACTTGTTCGACGCAACGAGCGCCCGCTTTATCCACCGGCCCCGAAAGCTGCTTGAAAACGATGAAATGTATTTTAATTTTGGGGGAAGAAATCGAAACGTGTTCAGCATTGTGATCTAAGACCTGCACCACCCTGACATCCTTACCCCACAGTTCCTCTCATATCAAGCGGCCACGTTGTGACAATCACCTAAATTATGCTCAATGTGGCGAAAGTTACATAAACTCACTCACTCACTACCGTATCCTCATTCAAATGAAGTTACACAGTATTCCGATACATACCAGTGACGGCGAGTGCTTACGTTAGATGTTGTTATCAGACTATGATAAAAAACTATCAATCCCAGCATCTGCAGCAGTGTCGTACCTATAAATCAAACAGCGAGGGAGAGCTGCTTTATCATCTCATCTATATTTCACAGAAAACAAAATCTGTCTAAACCGGACACGGACCAATAAGGATCCCTGTCAGTAACAAGCACAACGTTAACAACGATATCTCACTACTACAAAACATCGACCACCACTGAGTTATCTCTTCATTGCGCCGCTTCCTTGTTACCAAAATAACTCGTTAAAAATAAGGTTTGACCTATGGTTGACTCATCAACAGGGTGTTGTGTTTAGGCCATTGTTAACTTGCACAAATTTCAAGGCACAATATTTTCCCGATTCACAGTAAAGGATACAGTTAATTATATAGGTTACAGTTAATTTCGGATATCTAAACCTGTGAAGATCTGGGTCCAATTCTGTCTACAGCAACCCATGATTCAACTAACGCGATCGTGTGGTAAGGCTCACTGACTTGGTTGACACGTCATCGTATCCCAACTCTGTAGTTCGATCCTCATGATATTAATCACTAGATTGTCTGGTCCAGACTCGACTATATACAGACCGCCGACACATAGCTTGAATATTGCTGAATGCGGCGTTAAACAACAAACAAACAAACAAACAAACAACAATCTGTCTAACCCAAACATCCTTCAAACCTGACTCCTGACTGAATTTGGGTCAAGGGATCGGTTTATCAAATAATATACTACCCATCAAAAGTTTAGACTCACTTGTGTGAATGTAGACACTTACTTCAGTCAACTGTTCTAAACATGATTTTGCAAAATATTCCATTCAGTTTAAAGGTACTGTGTACATATGAACTAATGTATTGTAAAACAAATTCGTAATGTTGTCATGAGTTCAATGAAAGATGAAAGTCAGTGAAAATTGGCGAATTCTTAACAAAACGTTTCAATAAAACGCAGCTGTTCGCGTGAACGATATTTGCACATGCTTTTCAGCAATTTGATGCATGATCCTCGTACAGTTCATCTGCATAAAGTATGCAGTTGGTTCCCCCAAGTTAGTGGAGAAATTCATCTTCGATGTAACCACATATATATGCATAACATATAGTGAGTACTTTAGGTGAGTCTAAACCTTTGATGGGTAGTATATATAAACTCTGTAATCCGGACTAACACCATCATGCACAGTGTTTTTTCCGTGCCAGACAATTTCCTTTTTTTGAGCAGTTTCAAGACTAACCTCAATGATTTCCTAGGTCGGTAATTGGTCTGTGAATCCCAGTCCACCCCACTGCCAAATTATTAAATATCAAGTCCGTCCCTAAAGACTTCACGAATTGTCACACGGGACCACACATTTGCGTATCAATAGCATATTTATTGCATGTTTATGAATAATTTCTTAAGATTTATGAATCTTGTAATATTAGTATTAGTTACATATTATTGTGATTATTAACCTCAGCAAAGGTTCCAGGTAATGATAGACATGTGGAGGATGTTTCCAAATTTGATCTGTGTAAGTACGTACAACGTTATACCTACATCTCGTATCATAGGTCACTGATAACCAGGGACAAATGCTCTCTTTGATTGTTCATAGATAATATGCGTCACGTACACGATGAGTTATATCTAGTTTAGTCTAACAGTCATTAAGTCAAGTGCGTGTAACTAGCTCTATGTCGGGGCTAGTTTCAGGTTTCATACCCTCAGCTTGACATCTGTTGTGCCAGAAATATGGATCGTGTTTTTGTTGCTATAATAGTGCTACTTTCATGTCAACTGCAGTTGTTGAGATGCGACGACGGATTCATCGATGAAGCTTACGATGGATTTACCGTAACTGGAGGCCCGTCTTCTGAAACAGACACTCCTGGTCAGGATTTGATGACAGGGTTTTCACAACAAACAACGCCACACTCGTCGTCGCAGAAAGGAATCAATAAAATGACGACATCAAACAGTATGGGAATAGAGAGTTCTATCAGCCAGGTGACCCTTGAGAAGAAGACAATAACGGCTTCAGTTTCAAACCAACAAACAGTTACTGTACCCAATAATCATGTTCCAGATGGGTCTGTTCCTTCTGTATCAGTTAGCATCAACCCATTTGCAGCGATCGCGGGGTTGCTGATGCAGAGTCCTCAAGCTCAGAACATCCTTGGATTAATATTTGGCCAGAACAACACAGGTAAACTGGAGGAGTTGTTCAGAAACGTCACATCATCAACTGAAGTAGCGGAGTTGTTTGGAAACCTCACATCTTCAGGTCAAGGTGGGCCCAGTCGAGAAGGACTGTCTAAGCTTTTAAACAACCCCTCAGTCCAAGCAGTTATGGAGCAGGTATTTCTGCAAGTTCAAAATATGCTGAAGTCGTTCGTCCCGAACATTTCCCCGTCTCTGGACAATATCACGCCGGCTCAACTGTTTCAGGCTGTTAGTAATATGATCAATGGTTCAGGAACGGGCGGAAATTCGAGCACTGGTGCAATTATGCAAGCGGTTATGTCTGCTTTACCATCAGTATCAGGATCTCTGAGTGCAGCTCTGAAGAATTTCGGCGTTAACGTTAATGCCACCTACGTCATGGAACAGATTTCAGAACTTGTGCCTGTATTCCGCGAGCAAGGCAACGTCACTGCACTCCAAGAGCTTGCTGCCAATGCAACTGGGCCTGTTGGCATGTTGTTGGATGTCTTACCTTTGGCCATCAATCTTGGACAGATGATGAAACCAGAAATGGTTTCAAATGAGAATTTATGTCTGGCTGATTTCAGTGCCTTTGTCCAGGGTCTTCTTTCGAAGCAGATGTGGGCCCTTCGAAGTAAGTTGGTGAGTGAGTTTAACGCCGTTTTGAACAGTGTTGCAGTGAAATCACGGCGTGTCAGTTTAATATGGGAAGAAATCCCGAAGCAATGGCCTCTGCCACTCTGGTGAAAGTCTTAGGGATGGGTATGTTGCTGATACAATCATAGACCCATTGATAGCGAGAATCGCAGCCCTGTGGCACATCTTAGGGATTTCCACAGCGAATTACCAGGCCTTTGACGACTAGGCTACCCGCGACTAATTAATAATAAGAAAAGTGATTAATATATGCATTGCATAAATTTCTCATGTTTACCTCCAAATTGCGTAAAGATAATAATATTTAAATTGAAATCTGTATTGTCATTCGTACTGACGAAAACTATTGATAACATAACAAATGGGTTATATGACGTTATCTTAATGCATAAAATGAATGTTGTTTTGTATATTTTCCTAATTTCCATGTGAAATATGAACATGAAATGTTGAGTTGGATACCCATGAAGCATTATTTTAGTTTCCTCTTAATGTTTGATACAGAGTTTCGGTCTCATGACCACACTGCTCCAAAGTCATCTTTTTTTATCATCGTTATTTTACGCCACAATTCCATCAATTCAAGATATATGACAGCGGCCTGTCAATCTTCAGTCTGGACCACCCAATCCAGTGATTAACATCTCGATCATTGACGCACAATGAGACATTGGGTTACACTTGGGGCACGAAGACATGTATCAAAGAAATCAGCTAGCCGGTCGGCCCGATCTCGTTAGATTAACATGGGTTGCAGAAGATTAATTCGACCCGGGGGGTAGGGGCGACGGATAGCATAGTGATTTCAGCGCCCGCTTTTCACAACAAAGGCACGGGTTCGATTCCCCATATCGGTACATTGTGTGAAACCAATTTCTGGTACCTCCGTGCAGTTGCTGGAATTTTGTTCCAAGCGGTATTAAATCCATCTGTTTTAGATGGAAATATGACCATTCCCTATCTGTTTCTGTTCCTGGTAGAAATATTCAATATTGGTTATTCATTCCGTTATTTAACCTATATACATTGCAGTGTACCTCTTCATCTGGTTTCAGTGTTGGATGCATCTGGGAAGCCAGGTACAAGTATCTTGGAAGGCGCTGTGCAGTTCATCGGGAACTATGATGAGTGTAGGGAGATCTCGGCGACTCTCAACACCACGGTACCCCGTGTTGTACATGGGGAGTACTGGGAATTGACGTTCGCCTTTCCGAAGTTATTGGGAGCGTTTATGGGAGGATCTCTGATAGTGAGTTGTGACAGCAGTGGGTTTGTTTGTTATTTGACCCCACACCCACACCCAGACCCCCGACCGCGTCATACCAAAAGACGTTAAAATATGGTACTTGTTGGTCCCTGCCTGGCGCTCGGCATTAATGGGTACAACAAGGACTGGTCGGCTCGGAGTCAGTATAATGTGTCTGAGTGGGGTATTCATGCTTCACTGCTGCATGGTATCTCAGTGGACTAGCACTATAAAACCAGCTTCAGTCTGGGCTAATACAAGCAGCCGCACATACACATACACTCGCATGCACGTCGTCATATGAGCGAAATATTCTCAAGCACGACGTTAAACCCAATTTCATCTCACCTCACCTGGACCAGACAATCTAGTGATTGACATCATGACCATCTACAGTAGTAGTGGTAGCAGGAGGATGGCACGAGTTCCACAAGTGCTAACTTTGTAGTAAGTGATTATAGTTTTACACCGCTTTAGCAATATTCCAGCAATATCACGGCGGTGACACCAGAAATGGACTTCACACATGGACTTCCCATATGGGGAATCGAACCCGGGTCTTCAACGTGACGAGCGGACGCATTACGCTACACCACAGCCCCGCTAACCTTAGTGAGGATGATAGCGGTTATAGTTGTAGCATGAAAGAAGCATGCAATATTCAGTTATTTTTCTTTAACCACTTAATCACTATATGGCCACTATGGTCGTAGTGGTAGTAGTAGTTTACACCGTAGTTGTAGAAGTGGGGGAAAAGTAGTCGTAGTCTTCAAAGTAGTAGTAGTAGAAATAACACACAAAAACGTCAAATGGTTACTGGGGATGCTCAAAATAACATAACAAACCCCGACTGAAATGGGCTATGAATAATATGTTATCCTTAGATGAAATATGAACATTTACAACAGTGATCATTTCCTTGTGGCTTCTTGTTCAACAGGTCGGGATACCAGGCATCGGTTGGGGCTTCTGTCTTCCTAGGTCCTGCAATGTCAGCTCAGTAACACATGCAGTATCAATGGGCAAGTAACACTTTAGGTTTCCTTTGTCATAGCTAACATATACTATTCAAACAAAAGAAACGCATAACCAGAAATCTGTTGCGAAAATGTTGTATTTTCAAACATGTATATATCGTCCACAAATAGACTTTAGTACATGAATATTTGCATCAGTTCCGAAGAAGGAAATGTCTATACAACCAAGTGGATAATTTTAGATAACAAAGACGTTGAGCGCAATGGTGAACACGTAGCATGGTCCCGATATCGGGTCTCCTGGCTCTCAGTCCAATCTCTCTCGATCTGTTCCGTACTGTTTGACCGGATATCCTCCGAAGTCCAGGCACCTTGCCTGCTGTGCTCTCACTCGTGGCAGTACGATCACGCAAATGTAGTACCCGGATGTACCGATCTTGGGCTGCTGTGGTGACTCGAGGTCTGCTTGTACGGGGACTGTCATTTGTTATACCTGTTTGGTTGTAACGAGATGCAAGCCGTGATATCGTGCTCAGACTAACATTCAAACGCCTGGCAACAGAAGATTGGTAATCTCCAGCGTGCATTCTTTCAATGATGTTCCGTGTCGCAGCGTCAACACGTGGCGTAGTGATTTGACCTTGAAACTCCTTCAAAACGAATGCCGATTTCCGAAAGTAATGTGGAGTTTTATAGCCAGACAGTACATGCTCTTTGCTGCACAATTTCAACTGGGAGGTGATTTCTGTTGCGTTTTGGCGAGGCCTGTTTAATTCTAGTAAGAAATCTCATCAAAATCAACATTTGCAGGTAAAGTCGATTTTTCACGTGTGCAAATGTGTAAAATCATGTTATTAACACTTTTGTTACATATTATGACGACTGTTTGAACACAATAGGTAATTAATGATTTTTAAATACAAAACGCCTATGCGTTTCTTTTTGGATAGTATATTTGACGGCCTCTTTGCTCACAATTAAGCTGTTGGCAGTGATCGAACGGTTTGCAAAAAGCAGTTGATTGCATCTTTGCTCACAGTTAAGATGCTGGCAATGGTGAAACATGAACCCAAAATGCCATTTAAAAAAGTGGTCAAATGCAACTTGTATATTTGGGTTACACGTTCTTGGTAAACTACATATTCCTGTTCATTTGGGGGTTCAGTCCCACTCGGAACAGTTTGCATTAAGTATTTAAGCGCATCGCAACCAATGTGTTGGCAATGATTAAACTGTATGGATATGTTTTTGTCGTGTACAGTACCTTTAGAATGGCTTGGCACCGAGTTAATATCCGCTTCTCCAAGTACCACTGATGACTGGAAGGAGGATGCAAGCGCCATTGCAGCAGTGTGAGTCGACATTATAATACGTCCTGGCAATCGGAAGGTATTGGCTTGTACAACTGAACAGGAGGTGGCTGCAATGTTCTCAGCCACTATTATTTGCGAAATGTGTGCTTAAGTTTGGGTGCTTACTGTCCATCAGTAGGAATCGTTTCCAATACAAGAAAACCGAAGCCACCATCTTACCCACTGCTGGAATTGCCTTCTTTAGAGATTAGACGTGTTATTACAAGCAGTAGTCAATATACGAATAAACTCCATTATGCCATGACATTTGATGGACTACCCAAGCTTTTTCTTATGTTGTTTCCTGAAATGTTGTTTCTTGTTGCAAATAATGCAAACATTGATGTTGCAGGGTTATTTTAGTCCTGATTGCTTCGTTATCGGTGATCGGAACATGCTACGACGTGGTGTCTGGGTGGCTGGCCCTACGGAAAGCAAACAGAGACGATGAAGAGGAGTTTGTGGACGGATTTAAAGAATCCAAGGCTTTCGTCTCCGAGGACGGCAACCGCATCTGGCGCCTTAGTAACGGCATCTCGATGGTAGCAATGAATGGCAGGAGGGTGTACCCCATGGAAGAAGACGGGGACCAGATGACCACAGTGATGGGTGGCGGTGACGGGGGGCACCTGCAGGAAGAGGACAGTGATGATGATGAGAGACCACACACATTCAACACCACTTACAATGACAGTAAGAATATCACGTTTAAGTGGCTCAGTGAATTTGGTTTCAAGCTGCGTATAACAATATTTAGTGATGCCACGTGTCAGCTCCCTGGAGGTAAAGGTCAAAGATAAAACATGTTTTAGACACTTACCGTTTTAATGACACCAGTGAACTCTGGTATGGTGCTGACAAACTTGGAACCATAATCAGATTGAACCTGGAGTCTTGCATGGTGAAAGTATGCATCTGTGTACAGAGAACTTCGCCGACTGAGAAACACTGGACCAAAATAAGACGGCTAACGCTTCTTAGTCCGGAGTGATTTACCAACATAAGTAACAAGCGTCGTGTTTGCTGCTGTTTGTTGTTTTATACCTCACTCACCATGGTTTAGATATATGACCAGGTCCCGCTTCTAATGTTGCCGTAAGTCTATGTGAAAGCATGGGAATGTTATTATTTACGGTCGGTATAGCAAGAATATAGCACTTAACATTTTCTTTTTAATGACAAATATTCATGCTTTTCCGCCTCTCCTATTAACATAGGCTTTGGTCGTCAACTGTTGTTGGCCTTCTCCATCACACGGAACGCGGAGAAGATACTCAGCAGCGCATCAGTGGAGGGCAATCTTGGCTGCATCCATGGCATCCGGGTCCTCAGTATGGCATGGGTCATCCTCGGACACAGTTTGTCAAGGGCAACATTTAACACAGGTAAAGTTACAAAACGTTTTGTAAGTTTGTTGTTTTACGCTGCACGCATCTGCATTTCAACTATATGACGGCAGTGTGTAAATAATCTAACATGGACCAGATAACCCAGTGATTGACATCATGTGCATCGATCTTTAAAATTGGCATACAATGACAATCATTTTATAAATGATATCACAGCTTAATCATACGGACGTCCATTAGGGCCTGTTTTAAATTTCCTAGCTTGTATCTTGGAAAGTTTAGTTATATCCGACATTGTCAAGTCAGAGCTGAAAGTGAAAACCTTTCAACATAGTAATACTATCTTAAACTTCTAGCTTAGGGGCTCTGTCATTTGATATTCTGATTTGGTTTTGGGGCCTGGGATTTCATCGAAAAACATAGATAGTCCCTGAAAATGCTTTGAAAGAATAATTATGCTTCAGACTGTTGTAAAAACAGAAATAGTACCCCCAAAACTTTTAGGCTCATTAGTATTTGAAAAGTAACATCTAGTCTCCATACAAACTTCACCCCACCCCACCCTCCAAACCCCCACCCCATATCCCTCCTCCGAACATAATATAGTCGGTTCCTTTAATGAAGTTTAACTTAAGAAATTTAAAAGATGTCTTGGTCCAATTTGGCTTCCGTATAATCACGTCTGGGATGTATCCATGTTTGACTCTCCATATTTGTATGCAAAATATGTTATTTTCGCTGTTTCTTTTTCATTTTTGAAATTCTAACATTTTATATTCAGAATCACTTCTGCCACTATGAACGTGAAAATGTTGTCCCCTTATAACAAGAAAGGGGCCTAGTGGTTAAAGTCTTGACTTGCGACGCCAAAGACCCGGTTTCGATTCCCCACATGGGTACAATGTGCGAAGCCCATTTCTGGTGTCCCCCGCCGCGATGTTGCTGGGATATTGCTAAAAGCGGCGTAAAACCAAACTCACTCACTCACTCACTATAACAAGAAAGCTATCTAGGATGTGATGGAAATATTGTCTGTGCAGCTGAGAACTTGGTTGACTTCCTGGACAGGATCAAAGACTTTACCATGCAGGCTGTAATCAACGGTCCGCTCTCAGTGGACACCTTCTTCCTCCTGAGGTAGAGTACAGCATTCTGCAGCTGTCACATGACTTACCATGTACCACTAACTGAGATTTTAACACTATATAGTTGTTAATGTTATTTGCAGAATCAACACCATAGCATACATACATAAAACATAGTTTATTCTCGAAAGCCACCAGTGGTGGTACAATAGACATATTGAATAACGAGATAGAGGGAATTTACATTGATTCATAAAGTTAACACACAAACACTTGGAAAATATATCAAGAAATACAGATATTACATTAAAAATGTGTATAATATTTTAAACTTAATTACAAATTTAATCGTTTTGATATAATGTTTATGTAAGACTTGGGTAATTGCGGTGGTTGCGTAACAATTACGTCTCACGGGAAAAGGGATGGGCAAGTGTGTCTATTGCGCGAAGTGCTCCAGTCAAAGATGACACAACACAAAAAGACAGTAACAATATGTATTAAAATAAAAGTCTTGGTAACAGAGTTGCAAGTTTCGACTGCACAGTCCAGGTGAAACCTAAAAAACAAGTTGGCTTGTTGTCACCTCGACAGTGCAGGCAGAAAGAGCCATTGTACAGATACAATAATGAAAATAAATAATAATCCGACTGATATATAGGATGTGACGACAATACTTATTAGGGGAAACAATATTATTAGAGAATATATAAACACAATATTGGAACAAAAGTATATGTGCATATATGAGCACACAACCCAAAAGAGTATTTACATAAATAACTTTAATTATATAACCCAAAAGAATCGTCACACCCCTCCTATCAGAGGATTTACATGGGGCCCAACCTGAGGTGAGGTGAAAGTCACAATAACTTTAATGGCCAATGGGAAGTATAAAAATACATATATATATACACAAAGTGGGGAAAAATTTATACCCAACACATTTGGAATGTATGAAAACCGGTTTGATTGATATACACAATAGCCACGACAGGACACCTGGCCTGTACGACACATGTGGCTAAGGGAAATGGGGTATGACTGCCTGTTGGATGATCATACTAGTCAATATGAGGCTAGCTCCAACAGAATGTCAATACACCCAGTAGGTACACCACTTGGGGCTACCCAGAATGAACACCAAATTATAGTAAGTAAATTGACAATATGTAATAAACGGATATTACATGATTTATATTACTACAATATGTAGGTATATTAATGGCCATATAATATAATACATTTTTATTGAATAAACTGTGACTTCACTTTCACATCAAGTGGGTAAACATACTAAAATATGATTGATATAGTTGCATGGTACCGGTAGCCAATGCTATGTTAAGATAACCATGAAGCAGACGACGGACCCTAGTTTTGTTTACATCCGGTGCAGCCATTTTGTAATGGAGCCGGACGGGAGCCGGAGAATGCCGAGGTGAGCCGAAGACAGCCCAGGCTGTGTGCTGCTCAGTGGAGAGGTCAGCACTGGTCAGTGAGCATGACCGCCACTAATTGGTTCCAGCTGATACCGTGATACTCTAACTGAGCACATGGTGTGGAAACCGGGAGAGTGATACAGCCACTTTTTAAAATTAGAATAAAATGGCAAAAAGAGTTCTGTTGTTAGCAGCAACAAGTTGTAAATAAATGGAATTTTGAATTTAGCAATGAGCTAGAGACAATTTTGACTGACAGTCAGCAAATTAATGCTAAACACAGAAAGTATTTTACTTAAATGAATTTCTAGATGAAAATATATTACAATGAGTACATGTCATTTATTCTTGCCATCGAGTGCACGTTTGGACAGTCACAGATGAGTGACCTTTCGCCAGATTGGCACAGCAAGAATAATTGATGACAGTGACTCAACACTTGTTTTAATTGTGATTTAACAAATTAAAAAATACATTAATTTAAAAGCCGCAGATAATTACTTATCCTGCTAACAACATAACTATGCATTGGAATTTAGTACAGAAGACCTAGTTGCAATATGGAAGCAAACTGAGGTTCTTACCTAAAAAACAAGTTGGCTTGTTGTCACCTCGACAGTGCAGGCAGAAAGAGGAAGATTTCAGGCTTGGGGGGTCCCACGCTCCCTCTTGCCCCTGTCATGTGACAACATAGCCCCTGGGGATTGGCTAAAAAAAAAAACTGTTGCCATGGAACCCATGGCACCAGTGCCTTGAGCCCCAGAACCCTATCAGGTAACTGGTAAAGGGCAGGATATTGGGTTACTTGTGCAAGAGACTAGGACAAAATATCCAGCCTTTACATTTATAAATATTGCGAGGTTGCGCAATATATTAGTTCTTCTTGAATTAAATAAGTTTGCCATCCTTAGTGTATTAGGCCAGTGCACATATTTATTAGGAATAAGCTGAGATCGATCCAGCGCAAAAACGTCACATTTAAACAAACAAATGAGAGTAATCTGCAATTGCAGGAGAATTGCATAATGGACAAATTCTTTCTTCTGTGGGTACACCACTCCAGCGGCCAGTTTCAATCGGGAACATATACTACAGGTCAAAAGATGGTATTGCATCGGACATGATGTTTGTCTGTGATGTATCAAAGTTTGAAATGTTCTCCACATGTCTACCACTAAACGTTTGGCGGCTATCGTGATGTTCTAACCTTGATCAAACCTCCGGATAAGAGCATGAGTGAAGAAGTATGAGTTGTGGATGCTACCAGCAGTGCAGGACATAGGCTTACCATTTTCACTGCCATGCAATGTATGTTTTCAGATAAAGACTGATAACTGATTTTTCATGTATTCTTTCCATCCATAAGATTCTCTGCTAAAGCAGAATCGATTACACAAATCGTCATAAACTAATACAAAAGCCATTTCATTGTTCATCCGAAGAAAATTCTGAAACATATATCACAATGCGTCAAATCTTGAACAAGAGCGAAAGGTAAACAAATGTGAGTTGCTGATGCTAAAATTAGTGCACGATATATGCTTACAATTTTCGCTGACATGGAATATGTATTATCAGATAAAGTGTGAGAAATATGTTTCGACAGATAATGGAGACTGGTTATTCTCTGGCCTTGACTTACATATTTACGTCTTCACAGCGGCTGTTTGGTCTGTTATTTGTTCCTGAAAGAGTCCAAGAAGTCAATCACAGGGAGACCAACCGTAAAGCAAATGGTGTTATACTACGTTCACCGATACTGGAGGTAAGGAGAGTTAAGACACCACAATAAGAATTGTTACATACACTTATTTAGGTCTACTTGCATACAGGATAGACACAGGAAGGCGCTGCGGAAACAATGATATACGATCTTTACAAATAATTGTTATTATTAATTCGTTATCTAATTGGTTTTCTGATACTGGAAGGTTCTACTCTGTTTTCTTCAAAATGTCTCCCATGAAAGTTTTTATTAGTGCATTAATATATGCAGAGTGCATTGAGTGCATTCATGAACAACCATGAACATGTTTCGTTTTCAATATTGCACGTTCGAAATTTACATGCACCAACTTATTACGTGTGACTAATTCATTGCTCTTTGTGATTTCTTATAGACTGACCCCAGTTTACATGATCTTTATCATGGCGTATACAGGGTTATTGCGCCACCTCGTGGAAGGGCCTTTGCCAACTGCTGACAAACTGAAACACTCAGACTACTGCCGCTCAAACTGGTGGACTAATTTACTGTACATTAACAACATCTACAAGAATGACGAAATGGTAATGTATGCATACATTGACTATCGGGGCGTTGACATCCAATGTAATTCTATGCCAAAGAAATGGAGGAGATTGTTGTATGACAATGCTAGTGAAATATAGACTTATGACTTTCATTTCATATAAATTGAGATATTGTGTATTATTTTTTATATTTTTTTTAGATAGGTATATTATAACGGAATATAACAGTTAAATGCTTAATTTGTGTTGCAATGTTAGTAAAACATAGACACAACTTTAATGACATATTTCCCGCAAAATAATTTGCGATATTATCTCTTTTTTCATTTGCTTTTTAGATGAGCATCTTTTAATGGAATAAAACAGTTAAACAGTCTGTAGGTGAATATAAAGAAATCAAAGTTAAATGTAGCAACAAATGGTGAATATGGGTTTTGCCTCTAAAAAGTCCAATACTTGCAACTTCCGAGAACTGGAACAACTGAGCTTTGTGAAATTTGATTTTTGAACGAGATTTGAACCATGTTTCATAAGTTGCCCTCATATGACCTTGACCTTTAAGAGGTCACTTTTGTAACATTTTCATTACCATTTTGCAGTGTCTCGGGTGGTCTTGGTTTCTGGCCAATGACATGCAGTTCCATGTTGTGGCCCCTTTGGCGCTTCTTCCAATTGCTTTTGGGTAAGAACTTTCAAATCTGTAAGTAGTCTGTTAAAGGGAATAAAATGCTTTTCTTTCTGGTTTTGTTAGTATCACGAGCAGATATGTATGTTTACATTGTACTGAAGATAAGTCCATGTATAGTTCTGTTTAAGGTATATCCACATATGGACTAACGAGTAAAACAAAGTTTACTCTTTTAAACCGAGAATAGGTTTTAATACATTAATTAAAGAAACTGAGCATTAGGGTATGGATGACGGACCATTGTGAGACTACGTCCGAGATACCAACAAGCTGGGCACATACTGGACAGTTCACGAAGCAAAGGAAGGTGAGACCACCCCGCATTGACCAACGTCTGAGCTACCGCATCTTGACGTTGACGTCATCGGCGTTGGGAGACACATCATCTGGCACAGACGTGGTTGTCGTTGGTACTATTCAGGCGAACGGAAGGCTTTATGGTGCGCCCAAGAGGTTGTTTTTGAGGACGTAACGTCATGGTGTCGGGCAGGGTTTGTGGACAAAGGAAGACACGCCATATCATCATCGTGTCATCATCCATAGAAAATTTGATTTCTAGCGATACAAGGATGTCATATCTCTTCAAGCTGCATTTTTGTATCACGAATACACAATGTTGGCACCATCCCAGGGCCTTATAATACACGAATAATCAGTACTCTACACAAGAACATCTCTAAGGTCATCTTGGACACAACGCCCAAACCTGCCGAACATCATATAGTTACCCGAATTGGTTGTGGTACCGTCTGTACCATGACGTCACCAGGCTGTCATCGATGAAACATCATGCCTGTTTGGAAACCCGTCGAAGACCGTGATGCCATTAACATAGGGGCTATTGAAAACGTTTAGAAGATTTGTTACAACAGCATTATATGACCTCATGTGTGTTTGATTTCATTTTGTTCCAAAGTGCTTCTAAAATTGTTGTTTTGTCTTGTGCTGTTTATGATTGACCTAATAAAATACATTTTTAATGTTTTCCGTTTTATTTTGTTGAGCAATGCAAGTCAGTTTATGTTTTGTTTTGATCAGGAAATTATTTCACGTCAAATTTCAACTGAGTTCTTTGTTTTTCGACATAAGCCAGAAGGCCCATTATATTCTACTTTGGGTAGATTTGTTATATCAGAAACATCTCAAATTTCAAGTGTAATTCCTAGTTTTCTCCGCATGTGTTAAGTTTGAGGAACATTGATGTGATAGGTTTTGAAGGATATGTTCCATGAAATATATTAACAAGTGAGCAAAAGTTTTGATTGCATAGCAAAATAACTATCATTACTCCCTTGCTCTGTTGTTTCCAGACTAGATGCTCTGGGAATAATTGTGATGTTTGCGTTCCTAGTGATCCATATATCTACATTCGGATATTTTGAATATCATCTCAAAGGAGCAACTATTACGCTGTAAGTGCATTTGTTGTTTCTCGAAATCAAGATTTGTTTGTCCGTGGTTTTTTCTTCTACCAATGTATACGATCTAACCTAGTGGTTAAAGCGTTCGCTCGTCACTCCCATGACCCGGGTTCGATTCCCCTTATGGATGCTATGTGTGAAGTCCGTTTCCGTCACCTGCTGTGATATTGCTGGAATATGGTATAATCGGCGGCGTTGAACAATGCTCACACAATCACTCATTATAGTGGTGACTTGTGCTAAGTGTTAACAGTTAAATTTGTTGTGAGCTGCATGGCGACATTCCGTAGATACTCCAGTTGACACAATGAAAATCGTTTCCCTCATTTGGATGCATTGAGCTATAACCGCTGTCTCTTGTTGTGAAATTTGAACTTACCCACAATCAATCTGGGACGATCTGTTGTCCTTAGTGCTGTTCATATCATTTTGGAAAACATGAGTGTCAGTCGAGGGTATCAGTTAGACCTTACTCAGTATGTTTCTATGTTCAAATTATCCATCAATGGTTTGCTTGTACCAAGACCCAAACCTGTTTGGACATCATGCTGTCAGTACATTTTTGTGTGACTTCACGGTGTTATATGTTGTTTTACAATAGGCACCACTCTGACTATTCCAAGTACATATACGCTGTACCTTGGTGTAGAGTTGGAGTATTTGGAATCGGCTTGTTCCTTGGATACGTTCTTCATAAAACCAAGTGCAAAGTCAAATTACCAAGGGTGAGTGTAGACTATCATCGTCATATTCAGGACCATTATACATCATTAAGACCGCACCAGTGGTCTAGTGGAAAGAGCGTCTTTCCGGAACGTGGAAGGGTTGCGGTTCCGGTCCCATTCGAATCGAACCAATAGTCTTTGGGAGATGATACTTTTGTACGTGTTACTTGTTTGCTCCTCAGATACCAACGACCAATGTTATGATACACCTCATGCTTTTAAAGCCAACGTGCGATTTTCCGTTAATATGGCCACTTCGCTCAACATTTCCAAAAAGCAAAATATAGCCATTACGCAATTATTATTGTTCGAAATTAATGGATTTGGTATATGTACAGCTAATAGTGGGTTTCAAAATGTATGATCTGTATCTTGTGGCAAAATAAAGTTTGACATGTTTTGACCAAGCTTCAAATGATCTAGCCGCCATATAGCTAGAATATTGCTGAGTGCGGCGTAAAACTAAACTTACTCACTCACCCAAATGATCTACTGCTCTGGTAATTCTTAATTTTCTCCCTTTACATTTTAAACCTCGATAGTAGATCGTAACATACATGTTCTGATTTTGTGTGCATTATAAGGTATAACCTGGTTTTTTTTACCTGTAAACATCGTCTCTCTGACGTTGTAGAAGTGAGAAAACTGAACTTTGGCATATAAGTTTCTCTTATGATGATAAGCTATCTTATTTTAAAGATTTAAATATTCGTCTTAGATGTAAGTACTGACCAACCCGTGAAGATCAAGGTTGGAATTGGTCTTCAGTAACCCATGATTGTCGTAAGAGGCGACTAACGGGATCGGGTGGTCAGACTCGCTGACTTGGTTGACACATGTGATCGTATCCCGATAGTGAAGATGCCGGTGATCCATGGATTGTCTGGCCTAGACACAATTATTTACAGGCCGCCGCTATATAGCTGAAATATTCGCTGTGCTGAATGCGTCGTTAAACAACAACAAACAACTTCTTGCAAGTTATTGTCTTTGATGACATTGTGTCGACCAAATATCCAAGTGAGCTTCAGATATCAATGGCGGGCGAAAGGGTAGCCTAGTTGTTGAAGCGTTCACTCATCACGCCGAAGACCCGGGTTCAATTCCCCAAATTGGTTCAACGTGTGAAGCCAGTCCTGGTGTCCTCTGCATGGTTTTATTGCTGGAATATTGCTAACAGCTGCGTAAAACTATACTCACTCACTCACTCACTCACTCACTTACTACAGTGTCAGTGGCAATATTTAAGCAACGTTTAAATGCTTTGACTGATGCTGTTATGATTTCAACAATGGCATATTGAAATGATTCTAGTTTCTATTAAGAACCCCAAAATGTATACCTTAAGGGACAAATGCCATGTCAGTAATAATGGATGGTTTCCACAACAGTTCGTCCTTGTCCTTGGATGGCAGCTGGCCCTGGCTATTGGCCTGATGTGCGCATATTTCCCTTACGATGACTGGAAGGATGGCATTCCTGACTGGGATCTGAACACAACAATCATCTTTACAACCTTGTCCAGACCCGGATGGGCGGTATTCGTGTCTTGGATTATATTTGTGTGCTGTACAGGAAATGGAGGTTGGTATGCTTAACTCCAGTACTAATGTTTGTTCTATGAATTTGTGTTTTCTTATTACTGAAAATGGTATCTCTATTTAGTTCCTCGTTTCCCATTGATGTCGACAAAACGACCAAATGGTTAAATGGTGTTTCTTAATCCATCATGGCCTCAGAAAGATATGACTATTGTTTTACAAAGGTGAACCGGCAACGCTGGAGAATAACAGAGCTCAGTTACCTGATAAAATAGGTTCCGATTGGTGGCAAAATAATTGTTAAAATGACATGAATGGATCATTGCATATCACGAATAAAATGGGTGCTCACGAAAAGGGAACATGTGTATTTCTTTACTGGCTTTCTGCTGTCAGAAGTTTTATCAATAAAACAAATCGTGTGAACTATCCAGAAGTTTTTTTCTGATACTTTTAGTATCAGCCTGTGTTCGGGTCTTGTACCCTTATATTTTTCCGTGATAAAAATCTGATGCAACCTTTTACTGAACGCAAATAATGTGGGTCCGACACTCAAACGTACAGAATGTACCCGGGAAAATATATACTACAAACAAAAAGGATGGGAACGCCCTAAAATTTGATAGTCATATATAAACAGACACGTGGTGAGGTCATTTATACTCTAAGGTAAATGCAACATTTTGTGTGCTTAATGGGCACATGTTGGAACATGCAGTGAAGTAACTGATTCTGTCTTCCACATGCACTAGACTGTTGCGTTTGGGCGTTTGAATCAAACATGGTGCTGGTGTGTTTCAGCACCCTTGTTTTTCGCTTTTTTTGACATTGTTTCTTTCACTCAGACTCAACGAATATTGACTCAGTTACTTCACTGCAGGTTCCAACATGTCGTCTAAAGTGCCCTGAAAGCACACAAGAAGTTGCATTTACCTTAGAGTATAAATAACCTCACCACGTGTCTGTTTATATATGCCTATCAAATTTTAGGGCGTTCCCATCCTTTTTGTTTGTAGTATATACTGCGTCACGAGAGACCCATAGTAATATTCATTGCACCAGATTCATGACAAGAAATATAGGATTCCTGTGCGTAAAATAACCAAATGATTAAATCAATTTAACAATTAGATATGATTCCATACATGATACCGTTTTATTAGTTTACATATTTCCTGTATAGGCCCTTGGGTCTAGCAAGTGTAAGTCCCTGGGACCGGTAATTTTGTAGGTCAAGGTAAAACTATATGATGTGACGTCATTGAGACATGGTCCCTAATTTGTCACTTTGTGTCATACCAGGTGTGGTCAACAGGCTATTGTCGTGGGGTGTGTGGATACCGCTAGGAAGACTTACCTACGGGGCCTATCTCATCCACCCTGCACTCTTAGCGTACACCACGTTCTCTACGAGGACACTGGTGTACTTCAACATAGTACACTTCGTGAGTAACCTAATTACCTGTGGAAAAAATCTTACCTGTGTCGAAAAGACAGACACAACAGTTTGTTCCCAAATATATGAAAACATGTTTTGCCTATATTTGTCGCTGGACATTCTGAGTGTATAAACAGTGAGTGAGTATGGTTTTACGCCGCTTTCAGCCATATGTTAGTAATATCACACCGGGGGTATGCCAGACATAGGCTTCACACATTGTATCCATGTGAGAAACGAATCCGGATATTTGGCGAGAAGAGCGATTAATCTATTATATTAATAATATCCCATGCTTTTCTGTAATATATCCTGTAATTAACGTTTTGAAATCTTACTGATACTCTTCAAAACTGTCTCTGACAACTAATTAAAAATATTTTCCTCATAGATTAGAAATATGATAGCAACATCACATGTAGTGTTTATTAATTAAATAGAAAATATAAAGACGATTGCCTTGACAGGCCCTAATGTATATTTCTATTTTTTAACAGAGTTATAACTTCATTGGGACATTTGTTGTGTCTTACGGCCTGGCCTTCATCTTATGTGTGTTGGTGGAGTCGCCGTGTGTGGGGCTGGAGAAGGCGGTGTTGACGAAGATGAAACTGAAAAGAAGTTGAAGGACATGTTGTCGTGTGAAATATGTGTGATTTTGTGAATTGTATATAAACTCTATCTCTTTGTGACCCCGCGACGCTGGAAAGATAGAGACTTCAATTCAATTGCCTTTTCTAACATACCTGACTGAATTATCTGATTCTGTGAATAATGTGTAATTCTATGAAGTGAGGTACACTTACAGAATACTATAATTATATACATTCTATTGTGTGCGTGAGGCTCCTATATATAGAAGAAACAGAGAGCGCGAGCCTGCGAGAGATCCAATAAAAATACGAATTTAAGGTAAAAAATAAGGTTAAAATCGAATTCCTCACCTTACTTCCGGTTTAGGAAACCTAAACTGGGGATTTTAACAGCGTTCACTGACGTAAACAGAGTAAAAAGTAATCGTGTGTTGAAATTTTATTCAAATGCATGCTGGGAAAAGGAACTCTACAGTGTTGGAACACTCTGATGGTAAGTGATTTTTGATTGGTAAGGTAGGTAAGGCTTTTAAATAAAGGGGGGTACCCCCTTTACCCCCATTATCTTACCCTTTTTTAGCTTTAATATTGTTTAATATTTAATATTTAATATTAAACGCTGCTTCAACACAGCCTTCATTCATCGCGTGCCGTTGCTAAGGAAACAAAATGGAAGTGCGCAAATATAAATGTGCAATCAAAATAAAAATGGCGGATAGGTATCCGGTATTCTGTAATCTTGCCCTGGAGTGATACTGACTTTCAATTCAGTTGCCTTTTCTTATGTAAACGCTGATTGTTTTTGATGATACTTTCAATTATATATTGTGATTATGTCAACTATGTCTGATTTTGTGAATTATGTCATGTTTCCGACCTCAAGTTCGACGCCAAAACGGATATTCGATGGCAGTTCAGTTGCCTTTCCTAACATACGTGACGCTGACTGAATTATATGTTTCTGTGAATTATGAGTATTTCTGTGAATTATATAATTATAAACTTCATCACTTTCTGACTTCGAGTAAAGACATTGTGTTTTCATTGCTAGAAGGAGTGAGTGAGTGACTCTAGTCTTACGCCGCTTTTAGCAATATTCCAGCAATATTACGGCAGGGGACACAAGAAATGGGCTTCACATTTTGTGGCCATGTGGGGAATCGAACCCGGGTCTTCGGCGTGACGAGCGAACGCTTTAACGACTAGGCTACCCCACCGCCCTGCTAGAAGGATGTTCGTTTACAGTTTTAGTTACCTTTCGTTATGTACTAGCTGAGTATTTGTGTAAACTTTATTGCGTACCTTACCTCAAGGTGAAGACATTGTGTTTTGCGCTAGAGGGATATTCACTACAAATATAATTGACTTATTTTGATATGTAACGCTGACTGATTTTGTTCAGTGAATAGTATAAAAATATAATTGAGTTTAAGGTTATTTGTGAGTGAGTATGATTTAACGCCTGCTTTAAGCAATATTCCAGCAATATAACGGCGGGGGACACCAGAAATGTACCCATGTGGTGAATCGAACCCGAGTCTTCGGCGTGACGAGCCAATGCCTTAACCACTAGGCTACCCCACCGCCCCTTATTGCAAAGACCCAAGAATGAGTCTGCATCAAACGCTTTAACCATTAGACTACCTCGCTGCCCTAGTACCAAAGGATGTTATTTTCTTCAACTTGAACTTTTGCATTAGTTCTTCTTGATCATTGTAGGTTGATTGGACATCCATACACGCCAACTGACGTCGTCAGTCGGCGGATGATGTCAGCAGGAATCCTTTTTCCGAAAGTCCAAGAGTGCTGGCGATTTGCTGGAGGTGGTACACACTGTCTCAGATGGCGATCAAGATGATCCCAGAGAAGTCTGGAGAACTGGCTAAGGCAATACGTTGACGTTAACATTGTGTAGGAATTCTCGGACAATTCTGGCGGAGTGAGGCCTTGTGTGCAGCAAAATGACCCCCCCCCCCCCTTGACTATTGTCGAATAAGAATACCAAAACATTTCTCAACACTCCAACCCACAATGCCGCTGGGCAATCATGTCTTCGGAACATCACCAGTCTTGTTCTCTGGCCACAAATGCCGCCATGCCCCCAAGTTGAACGGACAAACTTCTTGAACGCAGTTTAGCGCCAGTCGCTCTCTTCTACGTCGATAAACTCGAACTCTCCCAACGTTTCTGTACCGACTGAACAGACTTTCATCTGTAGAGAGCACTCACTCTCAGTCCCAGCCAACGTACAGTTAGTGCCCATTACAGTCTACGTTGACGACGTAGACGGCTCAAAGCAATCCAAGGAAAGGGAGGTAGGCTCGTATACCAGCCATACCAAGTCGTCACCGTTGACGTCGCCGTCACAAAGCTGTTCCGGAGGTGGATGTACAACGGTACAAGAATCAGTATCGTAACTTCGCACTCACGAATAAAAGCAGTTGTTATCCATAAAATTTGTTCTATAATGATGTCATGTGTCAACCAATGAAGCGAGCCTGACCATCCGATCCCGTTAGTCCCATCTTACGACAACCATGCTGAAGACCAAATTGATACCTGGATCTTCACAGGTCTCATTAGAGGTGGTCCAAGTTTCAGGGAAGTTAAACAAATGTACAGAAAGCAGTTTCTACGACTTCGTACAAGTGAACACGCTTGAACACAAGTGAATTACTCTCGAACGCAACGTTAGACCCCGTTTCACACCTTTGCTATTGTTAAATCACGTAATGTTAGTGTTCTGTATATTGGCGGCGGTGGGCTAGCCTAATGGTTAAAACGTTCTCTCGTCAAACCAAATACCCGGGTTCGATTCCCCACGTGGATACAATGTGTGAAGCCCATTTCTGGTGTCCCCTGTCGTGATAACGCTGGAATATTGCTAAAAGAGGTATGAAACTAAATTCACTCTCCCACTCACTCTCTCTGTAAATTGCTTGTCGGAGGAGTAGAGTGCCGTCGCTTGTCTAAAGAACCAACTAATAAAGGGGCCGGGATGGTTAGACTTGCTTATACATGTGTCACTATGCACGGGTCACTGCTCATATTTTCCACAGGTCTGAATATTTTCACTTAATAATAATACGTCATCTTCTATAATTGCGCACAGTCTCCAAACACCAAGTGATTGCTCGCGGCGGTTAATCAGAATCTGATTCTTATTACCCCGGATAACCCAAGCTGCCTGTTAGGCGCTAGAAGGTTATGGTAACATGACTTTATCCAACCGGGTATCCATTTTCTGCTTGGTGAACAGAGGCAATTTTGAACAAACTCACTTGCCTAAGTTGAGAACACATGTATCACATGTGCTTCGTTGTTGGGCAGGACTGAAGTCCAAGAAACTCTCAGGAGTCAAGCAGTAAAACACTTACCATTTACAGCCATCAGTGTTATTGCTGATTTATTCGAAAGCATTCACTCACCCAAAGTTTATTGTTAAATACTGTACTCATTAATATCCCACCTAAATGAATAAGACCGAACAATTCAATGACCGATATCATGAGCATCAATCTACACCAATGTAGTACGAGATCTTCTTCTTCTTCTTCTATTTTTTATTGTTCCCATCGATACAAATTTTGAGTACAATATATGTGTAGCTTTATGCGAGTATACATTGCTGTAAGATCAAATATATGTAAATATTGCACACTGAGTTTCAGCGGTTTACAATGATCATTCTGGATCAAATCATGGGAATAGAGGAAACCATTTTTTTGAGAATTTATCAAAAACATTGTTTCTTTTGGCTATACATTTTTCGACCATGAATATGTCTTTTAAAATCTTTATAAAGTTTTCTAAGCTAGGAATTATTTTTTTCAGGGTGCAAATATAGATGTGTCTTTTAGCAGAAAGTATTGTATGACAAAGTAGTGGGTTAGTACTTAGAGTACCAAACCAAATGTGCAATTTTGTCAATTGCAATTCCTGTATGTTTTGATTGATCCAAATTTGAAGTTCATCCCCAAAATTTTTTGTTTCCTCACATTCGAGATCTTCTTTATTAACCTATATCTCTAAAGTAATCGCCGATATTACAAAGATAAATACTGCATGTACTGACATCATTTGGTGAGAATGCACATGACTAATGCACATAAATCTTTCTTATTCTACATGCATCAAGTAACTGTTTCACATTTTGTTAAAATAACTTAACTAAGCAACTGAACTAATTTTTCTAATAATACAGTTGATTTTTTCTGCTCAAGTTTACATAATTCTTACACAATTTCTTTCATGGACATTAATATATACATATATACCTTCTGTGAGATACAATCTTTACGGGATGGCCTAAAAGTCGGGCTAAGAAAAGTCGGGCCGGGCCGGGCAACCGGGTAATACTAAAAATGGATTGCAGAATATTAAAACGAAATCTGCACATTTGGGTAGATACAATTCCTGCCTTCACACAGCATAGTTTGGTTGAAAATGTATAGTTAACGACGATCAAACACACAACAACAATAACTACATACCAAGATTCCAGTAGAAAAGACACCGTCTTTTTGTTATGTGTTTTCCTCGATATGTCTATGTGGGAAGGTTGCTTACTTCTCTTAGCGTGTCGGGCGGTGGGGTAGTCTAATGGTTAAAGCGTTGGCTCGTCACGCCGAAGACCCGGGTTCGAATCCCCACATGGGCACAAAATGTGAAGCCCATTTCTGGTGTCCCCCGCCGTGATGTTGCTGGAATATTGCTAAAAGCGGCGTAAAACCAAACTCAGTCAGTCAGTCTCTTAGCGTGTGACATCCTGGGGTCCTGGGCAGGAAGTGACAGTGTTTTGACTGCTTTTCTTTCCTTAATTAAGATATTGGGGTTCCCTAATTAACCTTTATTGTCTCATGCTGAATCAGCACAGGATGTTTATGTTAAAAAGAAGTGGATGTTGGCGAGTGTCAATGGGCAAATATGACATGATTATGTATATTAAAAGAAATCTTTTTAGTCACAACCTTTTGTAATATGTTATAAAGGATCAAACAAGTTATGCATTCACAAACACAAAATTCTTATGTGTTTTCATTGTAAACAATACTAGCGCGTATGCATATGCTTATATTTACTAATACACATGAAACATAAAATGGTATTAAATCTACATAAATACCACTTCATAAAGTAAGTAAAATTGATTTTCAAGCCCTTTTCTCTCTCCTTTCCCAAAGATTTTAGGAAAAAAGTCCAACTTAAACCCCACACATGTATTCTGATTTGTGTTTAAATCCATAGATTAGTATTATATCTACGTAAATATCAATGTGTGATGTTACAAAATGCCACATGTAAAGATAACTGGTTCGTTAAAGTGAAGCCCTTTTCTCTCTCCATTCACAACATAGCCTCAATCAAAAGTGTTTAGTCTCTGTTCGACCCGACTTGGCCGTGCTGTCAAAAACACCTACCCCTCACACATGTATCTTGAAATGTGTTTATATCCATAGATTAGTATTATATCCACCTACATATCAATTCACAGAGTCTCAAAGCGTAGTATTTGAAGCAAAAACGTTGCTGAAAGTGAAGCTATCTTTTCTACATATTCTCAACAAAGACACAGTATCACAAGCTTTCGGTCCGCCTTTGCCCGGGATCTCAAAAACAACTTAAACCCCACACATGTATTCTGATTTGTGTTTAAATCCATAGATTAGTATTATATCTACGCAAATATCAATGTGTGATGTTACAAAATGCCACATGTAAAGATAACTGGTTCGTTAAAGTGAAGCCCTTTTCTCTCCATTCACAACATAGCCTCAATCAAAAGTGTTTAGTCTCTGTTCAGCCCGACTTGGCCGTGCTGTTAAAAACACCTTAAACCTCACACATGTATCTTGAAATGTATTTATATCCATAGATTAGTATTATATCCACCTACATATCAATTCACAGAGTCTCAAAGCGTAGTATATTCGATCTGTTTAGCTTTCTAATTTTTTCGTAGTAAATTACGTAAGTAGTGTCAGGTTGCGTCATCTCTTGTGGCGACCCTCGCGATATAGATATTCTGATATATTGCCTAAATGAGTTTTGTATGGATGAACTCGTATGCGTAGTTGATGCAAACATCGATACTATCGATGAAACATTTTACCACTCGTGTATGTAGTTGTATGTGTCTGTTGATTGATCTTGTACTAGATTCCATCTCCACAGGCTATTATTTTTTCAGCAAAGTTCGTGGAATGAAAACAATTCTTAGCAATACAAAACAATCTTAGCAATTTAGGGTGAGAGACAGGGTAAGGAATATCACATCTACTCATTTATTTATGAAATTATAATTTCACTTTACACACTACGTGTGCTTGTGAAATTTCCAATTTCATTTCATGTAGTTCAAATCCTGTTAGTGTCAAGGATCTCTGACAAACAGTTTTTGCTGTTGACTGTATTAGTTGGAAAGGTTCTGAACGTAGAGGCTTTGGTGAGGTGAGGTGAGGTGAGGTGAATTTGGGTTTAACGTCGTGCTTGAGAATATTTCGCTCATATGACGACGTGCATGCGTGTGTATGTGTATGGACGGCTGCTTGTACTAGCCCAGACTGAAGCTGGTTTTATAGTGCTAGCCCACTGAGATACCATGCCGCAGTGAAGCATGAATACCCCACTCAGACACATTATTCTGACTCCTAGCCGACAAGTCCTTGTTGTACCCATTAATGCCGAGCGCCAGGCAGGGACCAACAAGTACCATATTTTAACGTCTTTTGCTATGACGCGGTCGGGGATCGAACCTGCGACGTTCCGCTATCCGGGCGGACGCTCTAACCACTACACCATGGAGGTGGTCAGGGCCTTTGGTCCAGTGTCCCGATTTTAACATGTCTGTGTAATGCGAGGTGTCAATACCCGCATCGCTCATAAGGTTTCTCACCCATCCTGCGATAATACTAGGGGAAAATCTTATTTATGTGGTTTCACATAGATCAAGAGAAGGTGGTCAGGCTTGCTGACTTGGTTGACGTCATCGCATCCCATTTGCGTAGATCGATTCTCATGCTGTTCATCACTTAATCGTCTGGTCAAGACTCGATTATTTACAGACCGCTGCTATATAGCTGGAATATTGCTGAGTGCGGCCTAAAACTAAACTCACTCACTCGTCATTGAATCTAATGATTCATCATGACTGCATATTCTAAAACCGCCCTACAAGGATCCATGATACAACCTGATCCCGTTAGAGACAAGCGTGGCAAGCTGATCATAAATTGAGAGAAACTGTTTCAAACTGTTATGTATATTCTCTTTTTTGGCACCAGTACTTTAGCTGGTAAAAGTTACAGATGACTAGAAGAAATATGGATGGCCTTATATCACACATAAATAGACTGACTGACTGACTGAGTTTGGTTTTACGCCGCTTTTAGCAATATTCCAGCAACATCACGACGAGGGACACCAGAAATGGGCTTCACACATTGTACCCATGTGGGGATTCGAACCCGGGTCTTCGGCGTGACGAGCCAACGCTTTTACCATTAGGCTACCCCACCGCCCCTACATAAATAGAACCAACCCAAATCCAAACATAATCCAAAAAGGGAAGTAACGTTCGCAACTGTGGAAGAGTCACATACAACACAGAGTTTGTTTTCTCTGTCAGTGCCAGTCAGGTCTCATGTCTCCACTGTGCGGTTATGACTTGTTGTATATATATATAAATATAAAATAAGAAGCTCCTAAGAAGATACTTGTTTTAGATATTGGCAATATGTGCCTTCAGAACTTGACAGGGTTATCACTTCTCCATTTTTAAATATAATGAGCTTTCAATACTTTTTCGACGGCTTTAACATTAGAAGGCGGTAGACGTACTTCCGAGATGCCGCTGTTGAAAGATGCCGCTGCGAAAAGATTCTGACTGTGTGTGACTTATTCAAGTATACACACAAGCGTTAGCTGTTGTAGCTGTTAATGTTAATTTTCTGCTCTTGTGAAATTGTATTCCCAAGTACTGACAAGAAATTATAGTTTCCAACTGAAAATCACCATAAGTGTGTGTGAGTGTGTGAGTTTAGTTTAGTCCGAAAACAACCGCCGACTCATCCCCAAATTACGGGCACAGAGTGAGCGAGTGAGTATGTTTTTTTCGGTTTTGCGCCCCTTTTAGCAATATTCCAGAAATATCGCGTTGGTGGACACCAGAGTAGATGATATGATGTACTCGTGTTGTATGGAGGATAACTTCATCGGATGTCTACACATTCTCATTCTCTTCCCACAGAGGTTACTCCTGTTATATCTTCCTACATATGTACATATGTAGGAAGATATGACAGGAGTAACCTCTGTGGGAAGAGAATAACACATTCTATGCCCAAAGTAATTATCTTCTTCACTGTATATATGGACATCGGAACTCAACCTAGTTCCTCGTTCTATCAGGGGTGGTGGGGTAGCCCAGTGGTTAAAACGTTCGCTCGTCACGCCGAAAACTCGGGTTCGATTCCCCAAATGGGTACAATGTGTGAAGCCCATTTCTGCTGTCCATTGCTGGATATTGCTAAAAGCGGCGTAAAACCATACTCACTCACTGACTCGCTCTATTATGTCTTAATTTCATGGCCCCATTAAATCGGATCCGTGTAACACTATAGGCAATAGAATGAGTCGTAATAGGCAAGAAGAAGAGCTCAAGAGGAAGAGCTCCTAAAGTTTTAACTCCACATGTTAAGTTTCTGTTCTTGTGAATTGTATTCCCAAGTACTGATAAGAAATGATTGTTCCAATTGAGTGAGTGAGTGAGTTTAGTTTTACGCCACACTCAGAAATATCCCAGCTATATGGCGGCGGTCTGTAAATAATCGAGTCTGGACCAGACAATCCAGTGATCAACAGCATGAGCATCGATCTGCGCAATTGGGAACCGATGACATGTGTCAACCAAGTCAGCGAAACTGACCACCCGATCCCGTTAGTCGCCTCTTACGACAAGCATAGTCGCCTTTTATGGCAAGCACATGGGTTGCTGAAGACCTATTCTACCCCGGATCTTCACGGGTCGTTCCAATTGAGAATCACCATAATATCACGGATGGGAACACCAGAAATGGGCTTCACAGACTGTACAAATGTGGGGAATCGAACCTGGTTCTTTGGCGTGACGACTGGACGCTTAAACCTCTGGACCTCACCATAAGTACATAAGTGTAAATAGTAGGTCGTTCGTATATCATAGACTAACAACCAAATATGACAATTTTGAGTCTTGATATTGTTATCTTACGGTTGAAAGTATGACAACACAGGGGATATGTTTTCACCTCTTTATTCTGTGGACAAACACGAACTGCCGAACTTCTGGAGCTGAATAGGTACCCGCTTAGCTTACCGGATACATTTCACAATATTCCTGAATGATCTTGAATATAATCTATAAAATGACAACTGTTAAGGAGTCGAATTACATCCTGTTTTAACGACCGACTAGAAACTATGACAAATCTAGTTGGTTTGCTCTATGCCAACGACACAACAATTACAGTAGAGATCCGAGTATGCACAAAATGAAAATGTCCCATTTTAAGCAAAGCCCCCAAAAGAAACAGAATATTGCATGAATGTAGCATTGTTCATTTCAACTATTTAAATGCATGTACAAACATAGTGTATTCTTGAAAAACGCCACAATTAGCGACTCGTTAAATATATGATAATGTATGATAACTTACATGGCCAAAGGTTATCCTCATTTTGAACACACATATCCGAACAAAGTGCGAAGCATCGTCTTTAACAATCCTTCAGAAGGATGAACGTCAGAATTCTCACCAGTAACGTGCATGTCCCAAACATCGAGGTAAATGACACGAGCATAAAGAGAAACAAATTCTTGTCTGATGATTTTATCATATAGAGGTCCCCACAATCCACCTAAAGTGTTCCGTGTACTATGTTTAATGAAATAGTGTGGTCCTTTAATGACAATTTTTATATCGGGTGATCGTATCAGAAGTCTCTCTGTTGCTAGTCTTATATACTTCATTCGAGCCTTAAACACGTGTAGAGGAAACACTTGGAAATGAGCGTAAAGATGAATGAGAACAATATCTCTAGAACCGGAAGGTATTTCGTCTAGATGGACAAAACATGGTCGAATCGCAGTCCTGTTGGCATTTTCAAACGACATAGGTAGACCATGGGGGCCCAAAAGACAGTATAGTTAAACCTCTTGTTGTATGCCTCGGAATAGGAATACCATTTGCTCGTTGGTATAATGTTGTTGTGAGTTTCCTTTGGTCCAATTGCCCAAGTAAGATTCTGATATTTGAACAAGAAAGTAAACAACTGTCTGACAGTGGAATCACCAAACATTCTAAGGGTTCTGTTGGCTAGGCAGCGGTCAAAGTCTTTGACAGTTATATCATTAAAACACGACGGGGAGCGCCACGTAGAGTTGTAAAAGAAACCAACAGGGTTTGACAGCCAGGTGTTCCGGAAGTTTGCCCTTCTGCAAGGGATGTTTGAAGCCATCGCTGCGTTTGGGGCTGAAACATTAATAGCAAGATAGTGTCTTTATTTGTTTGTTGTTCACCGCTGGAGTAAAACATATGGCGGACGTCTGTCATTAACCGTTTACAGTCACAGTATCTAATATCTAACTGATTTTGTTTACCATTTTGTAAGAATTCTACAGAAAGTTCGTTAATGAACAATGAAAAAAGCATTGGGCTTAATATACACCCTTGCCTAAACCGGATGGACAGATAAAATAGTCTGCTAAATAGGAAAAACTCCGGAAACAGAAATATAAGTGAACTGACCTTTATCGTCACCTCGTCAACATGTACAAATTTAAAACGAAAGCAAATGTTTAAAAGTAGTTTTTCCAAATCTGTCTACAATACTATCTTGAGTAAATCGAACATCTAAAGGTACTAGCTCATCAGCCGCAATTTAGTTTTCACATCTATCTTGGTTACCTCATATGGTTGATTTCCATCTCAAACACGAGCATTCAGCTCTCCCAAAATATAGAGATAACAATCAGTTACATAGAGCGGATTTTATTTTATTTTAGCTGGTCAAACTAGCGGATTTTATTTTATTTTAGCTGGTCAAACAATGTGCATGTTTGTATAGCCTTATAGTAGGACGAACTTTCAGGGGAAACATTTTGGAACGTCATGGAAAAACTTGATACGTGTGGATTACAAAACTGAAAACGCTGAATCCGAAATGGGGAAGTGTAAAGATTTGCAAGATCCTCTCGTTTGCAACCAACGAAAGAATGGTAAGGAAAATCCTTGAGAATTATTTCTTTGACGAAACATCACAAGTGGTTTTTAAGAAATGTGTTGCACCAAAGAAGAAATGGTAAAAATTAGTGTTCAAAACCACGCACTGGACCATAGGACATCGGCGGCCATTTATTAAAGCATTCGCCGCTCTGTTTTCCTGGTTGTACGGGAAGCTGTTACGGTGCTGTTACGGACATCAATGTAAAATGTGAGGAATGCAACAGTGCAGGGAATTTACACAAAATCACTCGGACGAGGAAGCCAATTCCTGCGACTTATCCCAACTCCCGGTGGCAAATAGATCTTATAAAGATGTCCACCTACAAAGGGTTCAACTATGTTTGTAATATTGTGGGGAAAGACTACAGAACACCGGATACCTTCCGCCATCTTTGAAAGCTTATTTTAGAACTGCGAACAAAATGTGCGCAACTGAGTTCCTTAGCAACGGCGTTTAGTTAATGCTGAATACTCGACATTACGAGCATTAGGGTTTAGAGTTAGGGGTTAGGGTTAGGGTTTAGGGTTAGATTAAACATTAGATATGATTCTTACCTTCACAGAACGAAGTCGTCAGCACTGTCGTCAGCATCGGGTTGCAGGGGAGCGAAGGGGCGTCTCACATGCACAATTTCATCATTTCTGTCATGGGGTTTATATACCCGACTGATAAGCTCCAAGAAAGTTATAAACTTTTAGTAGTAGTTGTAGACTTCCAAATATGGCCGTAACTAGGCTATGACGTAGACACAAACTGACCAATCACTGAACACTTACCTTCCAGAAATTTCCCACGCTCATTCGCTCCAACTCCCAGAATTCCGTAGGTCCGTTTTTTCAATGACGCATATATTTTTTTATTTGTGATAACTTACCGTTCATTTTAAAAATCGTTGGTTAGTTTTACTAACCGGAAGTCGTCTCAATTAATCCGATTTTAATGGTTATTGTTTATGTTAATGCTCGCTTATTTTTTCCAATTTTATAGCTCGTGCTTCCCTGTAATAGGAAGTGCGCGTGCTATTAAAGAATATGGTTGGCAGGTATCCGGTATTCTGTAGGTGTACCTATTGTGGTTTGCTTTTTAAGCAGTTTGCGGACAAGTTCGTGATGGAAGATGAGATCTACCCGCGGGATGGTCAGACGGTCTATTTCAGACCAAACCCCGCGATGAACAATGGCGTCGCTGTTTTGACCAGCGGCTTCTGGAGACCGGAACTGTCACCGCATCTAAGAACTCTACTTGTGGTCGAGTGTACGAGGTGACGGACACTCAAACCTCCCAATGGTTCCAGTTGAACAGACATCAGATCCGTGATGGACAGATTTAGATGTATAAGAAATAAATGTTTTTACACCTTATTCACTCTTTTGTCTTTCTTCATGTATTGTTGAATATTTAAAGGAAAGCAAACGTATTCGATAATTACCATGGCCTAAATTTTCGAAACTCTCTTAGTTTCTATGATAGTCATGAAAACATTAGCAATATCGAAAGACGATCTTAGCGATAACAGAGCTTCGAAAATCTAGGCCAAGGGGTATCAGTAAGTTAGAAACGCATAAATGAAATGCCATTAACCTCTATTCTACCGAGCTGAAATGTTCTAACGACGATGAGTAGGAAATCCGCCACAGATTAGGGTAGGTACGGCAACTAGCCATGGATTTGAAAATCTGCCATGGATTTGGAATATCCGCCACGGATTTGAGGCCTGCCATGGATCCGAGTCTTACAAATTTAATTATTGATTCATTAACCCTTGAAATAATTGTCAAAAGGGGAAGATTTCAGTGATTTTATCGGTCTACTGAAATTATATTACGTATACAATTGATGGACTGCATATAAGCCCCTTACAATACAAACCAATAATAGCGATTTGAAACTATGATCGTTTGTTAAACAACTTTTATCCTAAGGTGAATAAAATTCAGAGATTTAAATGTTCAATTGGCAAGGTAAAATTATGAGAATTCGCAATCTTAATTTCACTTTATTTGATTTACTTTTCTGTTTAAAGTAAAATTCATCGGTACGTTTTCACTGCAAACAGACTATACATGAGTTGCTGCATACAAACCAGAAGGAATGTGTACTGTGACATTGCCTGGAAAAGTACCTGGGACAAATGACCTGAAATAACAGAAGATGGTTTCATATCAACAACAGATGCTGGTCTCGACATTAAGAGAAATATTTACACAGTGAATTAAGTGTGTGTAATGGAAGTCGTGATGAACATGAATGGTGGATTCCCTTCAGTGTCAGTCTCTCTCTCTCTCACTTTCTCTCTCTCTCTCTCTCATTTGTTATCATGTGTGCTAATTGAAGCTTTTAAGACAGACAAATGCAGTTTTACCTCATGTCATGTGGGATAGTGGCGTACAAAGTTGTAAAGACGAATACTTTCACAGAAAGCAGCTTGTTTCCAAACAAATTCATTGACGTTTATAGTGTCTTAGATCCTTCCGGCTATTTAAAAAGTTGTTCCTTAATTGCATTTAGGATTATGTGATACATGGGTTGCGTGTAAAACTTTAATGGGTCATTGAAACCCAGTACAAAGGTAACGGGCAGCCCAGACGGTAATAGTATTGATACATAGTTTTGGTAGATTTCTTCCTCACTTGATATTCTGGCCTTGTGTGATATTATTTGATATGTCCTTACATGCAGATGTGCTGTTCAACCCCTCTCTCTAGATTAAAACTAATTCTCTATTCTCATATTTATACTTACTTGAAATACCATTCACTGTTAGGTTTTAGTGTCATCTTCAAGCATGGTACTGAATTGATGCCTGTCCAATGGCTGCATTGAATTCCGTTCTTCTTCGGTTTTTCACAATACAATGGAACACCGTAATGTTTGTCTGTTAGATTGCAAACTTGTCCAATCCTCAGAAATGCGTGATCCATGTGTCCTGAAGTGATCTCAGTTAAATTAGGTGTGTTAAATAAGCACGTGATTTTCTTTCCAACATATCCTTTCCTCAATTCCCTGTGCATGAAAGCCATTTTTTCTCTTGTACACAATATTGCTGCACGGATGACAGCTTGCCCGGTCCACAAGATGCGCAGAATACCTGTGTATGTCCCATTGTCATGGTCAGTAACGGATCCTGCTGAAGCAGCTCCTTTGCTTCTGTCTCGCATCCATAAGATAAGCATGTCTCCACCTCGGGTTTTGGGTCTCTGCTTGTGGTCAAACAGTACAATCTTCACTCTGATTGTTCCATTAAGTGTGTACACCGTATGGGAGTTAACAAGGGTCATCGTTGAGGCTGTTGCAGACGCATGATAACTGATATCATTTATTTCGGTATCATTCATCATATAGATTTCTTGGTTGATTTTAATATCAACTAAAGGAGTTTGGATTTTGCTCTCAGTTCTTGAAGGGGAGGGCTCTCTTACGGTTTGAACCCTGTAAAGAATCATGTACAGTAAAAGTTGATGTTACATGTAATCGTCTTTTTACATACTTACAGGTAAACATATGTCATATGTTTGATATAATATAGCGTGAATATCTAGTATAGATTCTGTGTGTGCTAGCCAAATGGAACAACCTTCAACAGTCCATGCTGATTACCCTACACTGACAAAGTGGTCATAATGCAACAATGTTATAATGGTCATAGTTTACTTTGACACTGTACCAAATAGTGATGACATGTACATGAATGGATGTAATCAATGCCACAAAAGGGGTAGCAGTGTTGGTCGCCTGAATATGAAGAGACGTGCTCCTGTGGCATCGTTTAACGATTTTAGGATGACTGTAAATCGGAATACATTATAAACATATCTGGTAACTTCATTTATTACATTATGTAAATATTGTTCAAGGTTACAAAACCATTCTATGGAAAGGTCACAGTAAAACAACCAACAGGGGATGTTCACATTGATATATAAACACGAAACCACATGGAGTGTGAACTGTTTTGAAAAAACTGGTAACGCAATTCATGATGATGCAGCGCTCGAACATCTGTGACGACATTTCTGATGCCATACAGTGAATTTATTATCCATATGGTGAAATATAACCAGTGTCATATATATCATATGTGCACATGTGCACATATCACTTTTGCCTAGCAACCATTGTTTCTGTATTTCGTCGTCTGTGATGTCATTAAACAAATGAACATTAAAAAATGAAGAGTGTCGTCACTTGCTTACCGTATTTTAGTGCACAAATGTGCATGAATAAAATAGATAATAAAGAAAGTATTACACCTGAGCAAGTGTGGCATATGACTAATACAACCACTCGTGCAAAATTATGTAAATCCATGGAGGTGTGGCCCCAAGCATTGTGGCCCCAAGCATGGTGATCTACTTTCAGTTGCTGGTGATGAAAAGCTTGATTTTATATTGTGTAGTTGACAACCGATCTAGCATTTTAAACTGACCTCATGCTTGTGTTAATTAATCTGGGATAATCTAGTTGTTATACTGTTCTTCACTGACAGCATTTTAAAAAGTATTAACATATTTATCCATATCACTGTGTATGACTTTTGTCGTCACGATATGGCAGGTATTTTGTCAATGTGATGTTAATTCACTCATTGGAAGCTTGTGAGTGAGTGAGTTTAGTTTTACACCGCACTGAGCTATATTTCAACTCTATGGCGGCGGTCTGGAAATAATCGAGTCAGGACCAGAAAATCCAGTGATCAACAGCATGAGCATCGGTCTACGCAATTGGGAACCGATGACATGTGTCAACCAAGTCAGCGAGCCTGACCACCCGATCCCGTTGGTCGCCTCTTGCGACAAGCATGGGTTACTGAAGGTTCATTCTAACCCGGATCTTCACGGGTCTGGAAGCTTGTGACTTTTCATAGCAGCTCCCACGTATGATTGCATTTATCCAGGGTCTTTCACGCAAACACTGTCACATTAACCACAACTGTTTAGTAAAGCCATTTTGTTTTTACCAACATGCCATGAATCAAATTTAATTATTATAGTTCTACCGTAACAATAACAGTTGTGTGTGTCAACAGTTTCTCTTTTTCGTGAGTATCATTGTTGGTTCTTGCTTTATTTATCTTTGAAAATGTTTATGTTTTAAAAACAAAACAACCCCAACACCCCACCCCCCACCCCTTCATTGCAGGCTTAAGTTGTACCAACTATGATTCTTTTAGATCTTGGTGAGATATTATCTGAAGGTACGGGAATACCGAAACAACATATATCAAGCACCAACAGGAAACTACGACATCATGCATTTTAATAGCTCAAAGTCAAAGCGTAACAGTATTTCTGCCTCATAACAAAAATAGATGTCCCCTGAATGCAATTATTGAAACTAGGATAACATACAGTGTATTGCAATTCAAAATAGTGAGATTAAATTCTTTCATCTTTTACAGATTGAGATAAAATGCAGCAGCAGAGAGAGAGGTTGGATGGTCCAGGCACAGGTGTCCTTGTTCTATCTACACGCAGTCCAGACAGTGATTGTGACTTCTCCCAGGAAGCACTGTCTATGCGAACCCGGTTGTCTCCCCAAAAGCCCTACAGCCCAGTACCCCTACGGCCCAGTAACCCTACAATTAACAACACACGGCATTACCTGTCTGGCATAATGAACTGACCCAAAGGACTGACTGACTGATTGAGTTTGGTTTTACGCCGCTTTTAGCAATATTCCAGCAACATCACGGCGGGGGACACCAGAAATGGGCTTCACTCCTTGTACCCATGTGGGGATTCGAACCCGAGTCTTCGGCGTGAAGAGCCAACGCTTTAACCACTAGACTACCCCCACCGCCCTTACCCAAAGGAGAGATTACAGGGTAGAGTATACAGTGTGAGCTGCACAGAGTATACAGATGAGGAGGGATTGAGATTGTGCTTTTGTTATTCGGGTTTTGATAATTTATTTTAAATATTTGAGATGAATTAGATGTTGAACTAGTCTTTATAACTTCCTGATGTACATAATGAGTAGTCAGATTTTGCAAATCGTAATAATATCAGTTGTAATAATGTTGGAGATAGTAAACTGAGATAAATATTTTGAGATGATTTGGGGTGGTATATACGAGGGGCGTTCATAAAGTAGTCAGCCTAACTATATTCGCGCTGTCCAATGTTTGAAAAGCTTCCATTTTTTTTGAAGAAATTATTAGCAAGGCCATATCCAATATTTCACATATCACAACACATTGGGGTTGGTTAGTATTTCTTTAAGAAATTGAAAAAAATGAAAAACGATCTGTCATTTGGCACCTCTTGGACAATGGCATGCCCTCAAATAATGCCATATAAAATATAACTTATAAAAACTTTTTAAATTATTTACATTTTGAATTTGTCATGGTTAAAAGTTTTTATTAAGGCTAATCAATCATAGTGATTTTGTTGTGGTTTTGCTTTATAAATCAAGCATTAACTCGATTTTATAAGTAGGTTTTTCTTTGTTAAAAAACATCTTGCAACATATTGCAACACATATCGCAATATATGCTTTCGCATCGCCATATATCGCAATATGAAATTTCTCTGCAATACCCACCCCTATGTATGAATAAGTGAAAACATGAGAATAAGTTAAGTCCTTATGATTACGTTATCTGAAAGGGGTTGGGTAGTGTCTCCAAAACAAGCTCTTTCAGTAACCCCCAACATCCCATAACCCCTACAGCCCAGAATTAAACCTCAAGTTCAATATTAATTTAACATTAAACTTTTGTTAAACTATTTTTGTTATCATTCTCTCAAACTCTTAGTTTGGTTATTACTCATTAAAATCATTCTCTCAATTGCTAAGTGTTTGGGCTGGTCCAATGCATGAAATAGGTAATAGGCAGGAGATTAGCAGTGCACTGGACCATTAACTTTGTTGCTATAAGCTGTAGGGGTTATGGGATGTAGGGTTTTTTGGAGGTTAAGTCGAACCCATCAAGAACTTTACAGAGAATATGTAGGCCGCCCAACACTGCAGCTTTTGCATTACCCAGAGGGTCAGAAGCCCCGTTCTCTCAGTGGAGAACCCGGGCACTCTCTGCGCAAGAGATCAGGAGGTACTATGCAAAGGGCACCGTGAACAACGGGAAGTCGGCAAACAGTGTACTTGCAATGCAAGCACCACATTTCAAAGGCGAGGTCCGCACGTTTACCTAAATCGTGTCAATCACATCGCTGTCAAAAGGGACAGAAAATTCAATGATATATACTGAGTCAAAAAAGAAACTTCACATCCTTTCGTCAGGGCACTTTAAAAGAACAAGAGATGGTAAGATGGTTAAATTGTTATTATTTTATTGCTGAGATCTGTGTGATGTACTCGATACACTGACAGTGCCATAACCAGTTCCATTAGGCTACACCGCCGTTCCAAAACATGGGTATACAGAATGTCAAGTCACAAGAATAAAAATGCGAAATTTCTCAGTTCAGTATCGTGTATGGCCGCCCCGCGCATTCACCACTGCCAAACACCGTCTCCTCATCGACTGCCTGATGCTTGTGAACAGGTGGTTGGGGATTCTGCTCCATTGCTCTTGCAAGGTAGCGCCAAGTTCCTTCAAATTCTGAGGTTGGTTCCTAAGACCACGAAGCCTTCTCCCAAGTGCATCCCAAACGTGCTCTATTGGATTAAGGTCAGGGGACCTCGATGGCCAGTCCATGACGTTGATTCCAGCGTTTTGAAGGAAATTTTCTGTCAACATCGCGGTATGCGGCCGAGCATTATCATGCTGGAACTGTAGACCTGGGCCATGAGCCGCCATGAAAGGAACGAGTTCAGGGGTGAGCACTTGGTCGCGGTAAGCAGCAGCTGTGAGGTTTCCACGGATGACCAGAAGTCGGGAACGGTTGTTCCCACAGAAAGCACCCCACACCATGCAACTTCCGCCCCCGAATCTGTCGACTTCCTGTACACAACATTGGGCATACCGTTCACGACGTCGTCACCAGACTCTATGCCTGCCGTCCGCGAATCTGAGGGTAAACCTGGATTCATCGCTAAAGACGACTCGATTCCAGTCTCTCTGGGTCCATCGGAGGTGACGTTGGGCCCACAGCAGACGTTGACGTTGATGAAACGGCGTCAATATTGGCCCACGATATGGACGTCGAGAATGGAGATTGGCAGCCCGCAACTGATTTCGAATGGTCTGTGAGGACAGTCGACCTCTAAACATCTCAGCCCTGGTTTGTGTAGCCGGCAGAAATCTGTCACGTAGGTGAGGTAGGACGATTTGACGGCCTTCTGCTCGTGACGTCACACGTGGACGACCCGACCTTGGGCGATCAGAAGTGGTGCCAGTTTGCTGTAGACGACCTCGCAAGTCATACACAGTACGACGGCTTCATCCCATTGCTCTTGCGACGTCAATAACTGATCTTCCCGCTTGCAACATGC